GAGAATATAAAGGGGTGAGAAAGAGGAGAATGAGAGAGACCCAAGACTCCAACTAGAGTTTTTGGGTGTTAAAACGGTGAAGGGGAAATTGAGGATTGACAATTAATAGTTTCCTGAAGAGGGAATTTATACTGGTACAAAATTTTTGCGGACTTTGAAGGAGTGAATGAATGAGCTACATAAATGGGGCATTTGAGAGTTGAGCTTGGAAAAACTCCCCTCCTTGGGAACAAAAGCAACGAACGACAGGTCCTACCGAACAAACAAATTAAAATTTGGTTGACTTGTAGTTGTCCCTATAGGGTCTTAAGCCAAGTCAAAGTTCTGCTTAAGGATAGCATTAAGCAGCTGAAATGACAGCACCGCCCTTCACCTTTGGCGGTTTCTCTTTTAAAAATTTCTCCATGGGGTATCTTAGTTCTTGGTGTATAGGAGGGGCAGAATCTGCAAGACCCTAGCTAATCACTACTAGAATATTGTTATTATAAACGAAGCTTGTTAGACAGTACTTCTCAAGCTATGTAACAAACCAGCACCTGATACCATTGGCAGCTGCTTTCGTGTTTAGAAACTGTTATTTGAGTTTAATTAATCAGGGTTGGATGTTTATGCTTAAACTATTACTAGAAGTTGATCCACATTGCCTGATTTGATATTTCAACAGTGAGGCTGGAATGGAAAATGATGTGACATGACAACTAAATCGCCACATCCCTGTTGTGGAGGAAAAGCAAAACTTCAACAACCAACAGCAGAATCCAACCCAAAGAAAGAAAAAAAAAAAAACAGCAAAAGTCCTCTCGAACTGACATGTTCTATGGCTGCCCTTGTTGGCTTCAAAACGCTACCAAGAAGTAGAGAACAGTCGCCCAAAACTCTCCAATGGAATGTTGTGATGCGGTACTTGGGACTCAAAAAAGGCCCCCCACCCTTATCTCTCTCTGTAAATTATCTGCTATCTTTTGCAGATCTACACATTTTTGACTTCCATGACAAAATCCTATGTGCCTTTTGGTAAAAGTATGTTTACCTTTCAGCTTGCTAAGATTGATTTGTCATTTTGCTTTAACATTCAAATTTCAACCGTTGATTCTTTTCTCAAATGATAAATTCTGTTTTGAGATGCTGCCAGGTTTTCAAGGCATTGAAAGGGGCAAAATTTGATATGATAAAAGTAAAATTAATGATATACTGATGATTGTCAGGATTGGCACATAAACTTGGTACAAGTAGTTGCTGGCAAACCACCCAATCCCCTTCTCAACAAAAAAGAAAAAGTTCATCCCAGGAACTCTGTCCATTTTTATTAATTTTATTAATATTTTGCACCCTCGTGAAGGGGTTTCTTTGAGGAAGAAGTGGGGGAGTTAGGTCGACGTCGGAGTAATGTATGGTATGGACCATCATATTCATATCCAGATTCATCAACTAACATACAAAATTACAGTACAACATGATCTGATGCAGCACAGTCAGGGGATAATAATAATAATTTAATAAATGGAAACAAACTAAAGAGAAGATTAAAGGGTGTTTATCTAAATCCTGATCATTCTAATCATTTGAACTATAGCCTCCAACATTCAAGCAGACTTGAGTGAAAATATCACACCAATTTCCATTCATTACATAATTGTTTTTTTAAAAGATGAAATATTTCGTGAGTAATTTTTAAAATTTCATCAATATTGATATTTATCGATGGATTCATTAAAAAAAAGACATGCACAATCTCATTGGACCATAGATAATTGAAAGAACCTTGGACCTGGGGAAGAACAACTCAAATTAATGTGTAGCATTAGAGCAAATTCTATGAATGAAAACAGAAGGGTGATGACAAGTTCTGTGCTGTTAAGTTTTCTGCATGACATCATTATGAAGGAGAGACCAGAATAGCTAGCTAATTAAATGTTATTTATGATTAATCTCTAAACTAATGAGCCAGAAAAAGTTATAATAATATATCTCTCTCTTTCCCTGTACTTGGTGTATGTTGATCCTTGAGTAACTCAAAAGGGATGAATGTTCGGTAGAGCAACAAGAGTCAAAAAGAAAAAGGCCAAACATCACCTCTGGCAATACGTCTTACTGTACTTCTTTCCAGGGTCCGGCCAAAAATAAAAAACTCATATTATTCTATTTGTTTAAACGTATATTCTATATGTTTTTAGTTGAACGAGCCATGTAGGTTGACAGGACGAACGGTGTGTTGTTCGATGAGTTTGGGGGAGAGGGCAGCTTTTGCAAAGATCCTTGGTGTCTTTTGAAGCTCCTTTATGTGAAAGATCAACTTTTGGAGATTGAGCATGACTTTCCTTCCACATTTTTTTGCAGCTCTTTTGGATTCACCTTTTTACCTATTGGACACATACATCCAACCTTAGCTACCTGACAATTCCCCCACCCCTACGTTTCTCTCTTCGGCTGTGCTAACAAAAATGGGCATACGCCCAGCAGCGAAGCTTCAGCAGTCCCTAGTAGCTAACTTCTTTAAACTTTATCTGTTCCCCTGGAAATTGTTTGATTAAATATCTGCTTCAAGTATTCTTTTTTTCCCTTTGAAAGGCATTTGCTTCAAGTAAAAGTGTTTCATATGGCATTATTCTCCTCTTTGTCTTGTAAGAACCCAAATCCGACTCAATAAAAAGTTAACTTGTACTTACCTGATTGATATTAAAATTGTAATAAAAGAATATATTTCATAAAAGAATATTTATGAATATTCTGAATATATAAATATAATTAAAAAATTATCAATAGATTTTAAATTAAATATTTATTTTAAGATATTACAAGATTTTTTTTGTGATTCATGTTATGTGGTAGATTTGTTATTTTTATACGTGAAGGAAATCTATGAGATGGACACAGATAGTTTGAGATGGCACTGCAATTTGCCAAGCATGTACAGGTATTACTATCATCACCAAGTTCTGAATTACAACCTTAATAACAAAATGAATTTAATGTGCTCACATTTGTTTGCACGCAAAAATAGAGTATCTGTCAATTCAAAGTCAGGAATCAGAGAGATAGCTAGCTACTTCGAAATTTAAATAGCACAAGCACAACTAACCCAAGTAGCTAAATTCTTAGATGACAGAGAAACGTGAATGGATGATAAGATATAAAACTGTGATTCCTCTGAAAATGTTGAAGACAGAAAAGCAACTATTCCAACCAACGCTTCCAGTCTTGCAGAGGAACTGCCATATCAAATATATATATATATATATATATATATCTTTGCACTTGTCTTGTCCTGTATCTAATTTCCATCCCACAGACTGTATTGGATCCATAATTTTCGCTGCCAAAGAAATAGTGGGTTTGAGATAGAAATTATAGAGTACTCGTCACAAGATCAACTTTTATGTAAATCAGATGATTAGCAACCTGTTGATGAACTTTGGTCACAGCATCTTCTAAATAACCTGGTAGGAGTAGCTTAGCCAAGATTCTTGGTTCTTAGATCTTCTCGTGTTATAATTTCATTAAGATGACAAGAATGTCTTAAACAGAGAATTCTTTTCTGTTACTTCCCCGTCGTAAACCGGGTTTAAATTCTTAATGGATATTTCATGGCATTAACTATGGGCTCACCAGTGGCCTTTAGATGTCGGCTTTGGGCCTCGATTTTGGAGTTGAGAAAACCCAGAAAGCCGGGGTGGCACAGATCAACTTGGGCTAGTTTGCCATAGGGGATTTGTGTGATGTAGCAATCCAGGGGAGATGGTCTCTTGTATGCATTGCCTGGCCAAGCAACTTGCCGCGTTTGGAGACTCTTTTACTTTTTGAAATCGATGATCTAAGAAGCTAACATCATACTGACATCTTTAATTCTATATGCACCATAGGAAGACCTAGAATCTTCTGTCATTTTCCATAACTTAGCATGCAAGGAGCACTGCTTACTTCGCAAACCAGATGTTAATTCTCTATATATAGACACGTTTTTCTCTCAAACTTATCATGAAGGAAGAATGTAGTAGTATTACCTCCTCCCTCTTGTTTCTTTTCATATTTCCCACTCATTGTTTATTCCAGCTAGCTTCTCCCTCCCTCTCTCTCTCTCTCTCTCTCTCCTTTTTGAGATGATGAAATGACAATGAAGAGGGGAAACAACAATAACGACATTGTAGTAGCAACTAGGGTGCAAATCCCAACAGATGAAGAACCTGCTGTTAAGATGCTCGATCGTGATTCTCTTGTCCAAGTTATGGCTGAAAATGGTTTAAGGTCAGCTAGTGGATCCTGCAGGATGCTGCTTTACCCTGTAAGCTGAAGTCCAGTTTTCCCTTTTCAGTTCTTTCGAGTATACGTTTTGGCGTATGCTTAGGATTTTCAATAGTGAAATTAGATGCTCTGTCATTAGGCTACAGGTATTTCAACACAGTGAATGGACCCCCGCAGCATTAACGCTGGGTGCTCAAACCCGTAGGTAAAAATTTAACCCATTTATATGTAATCATTTATCACCACTACTCTCCTGACTTAGAGTTTATATTTGACGTACATTTTCGGTAAATGATATATTTGTCACCTCACTCAAATTTTTTATTTATTTTTAAATATATTAATAATGATGAGATGACAAATTTTAATTTATCGAAAATGTAGTAAAAATATGTCAAATATCAACTCAAACAAATTGGCCAGGAATTTGATGCAACTTTTACAACCACAAGTGATTACGTGTAAATAGGTCAAAGCACAAAAGGATGATTGTATGTAGTTTACCCTTTCCAGTTTCGATGAAGGTTGGTAAAATCCTAGTATTAAACAAAATGGGAGAAGGAACCCCCTCGGTCATGTCTGTACATAAATGTAGTAATGCAAACTAATACTTCTATTTCATGTTGTCGTCATAGTTTCCTTTCTTTAAGCAGAGCCCAGTTTCCAGGATTTCTTTTATTATGGAATTTGGAAGTGTGAAATGTTAATGTTTTCCCTCAGAATGCTTTGTACAGCCTATCCAAACTCCATCAAGCACATCAAAACTCAAATTCCACACGGACCATGCAAATTTCGATAACTGAATTGCTTCTTACAACATGAAGGTTAAGTTTCCTCCTACTAATTAGAAACACCTAGCTGTTAGCTAAAGACTGTCCCGGTTTCAAAGAACATTAAATGCTGAAGTAACACTGTAATCTATTTGACAGTCAAATTTTAGCAATGCTACATACAAATAGAACAATCATATTTTCATTTTGAGAATAGCTAGATAGACAGCTAGTGTTGGTTTTAGTGCAACATCTCACCAGGGTTGCCCCATCCCACCAAGTCGTCGTGCCAACTGGATATCCTTCTTCACTGTGGCAAGAAAAGGAAATAAAGTTAGTTTGTTCCTTTTGAAATGAAAATGGAATAAATTCTTTCTTAAAAACATTGCAATCAACCTATAAAAGGTAAGAATTCACGCTTTGAAATTGAGAAATCATGTTTTTCCAATGAGCATGAAACATAAGCTAGAAACATGAGTAGATGGCAACACTAATAGTCTTATAGGCATATATACTGGGACCAAACATATGGCAATCACATAAAAGAGTTTTCAAATGATTGTTTCCCGTCCATTGATTCAGCATTTTCATTCCACCTATCATCCCACACAGTTTGGTCTGCAACAATCAATAAAAAATCATAATGTGCCAAGCAAATGTTGCATAATGTTATATATCTATACAGACTGGATATGGAGGGTAACCATAATTTGAGATTAAAGCATAGCCAAAATTTCATATGTATGCATGAACCTAACAATTAAAAATGTGATATAACCGATACACATCAAGACATATTTTACTCTTCCATCAAAGAAGAAGCCATATATTCAGAATAAAAATTACTCATGGCAAGCCCTCCATAAACTTCTCCACGTTTCCATTACTTTCAACAAAAGAAGAAAAGATTTGTAGGCCGAGAGGTAAACTTTTAATACACCCAATGGCATTATTCTGTACATGCTCTTCCACTAAAATACATAACTAACTTCAATGAATCAAATACACAACATCAAGGTGTCAGATTAAATACCCCAAACCTGGAGTTGACTGCATCATGTTACCAACACCTATAGCACCATATTATTACTACTACCTTTAGGTCACTACAATTATTTTAGCATTAACTTAGAAGGCGCTGAACTGCAGAACAAATATGCCCAATATAAAGTAGTTCTCACAGAAACAACAATTTCTCCAGTCTTTAACTTACTCAGTGTAACACGCTTAGCATGAATTGCACACAGCATTGCATCTCCAAACAATTGAACCAAATATTCCTCTGCTGCCTACAAATGCACCCAAAGTCACACACATTTTGAAATAGGAAGTAGCAAAAGTATTGATACCACAGATTGCATTGCTATTCCATAATGTAAAAAGATATATGACAAACTGAACAAACTAAGGTTCACAATCATTGATGGAAATTAGCATACTCATACCACACTGAAATGCAAGTTTAGTTTTTGGACACTTACGAATGCAAAATTAGGATATGCTCAGTGTAAATTGATTTGCATGTTAATGTTGCAACCTAACGTACAGCTGTACGATAATATGAAGGCTGGGAAGCATAGTTTGTAACAGACCAACCACATCCACAACCATAAGCCCAAAAATTAACTTGCACATCATTGTGTGCAAGAGTGTGTGCGCGTGTCTATGTATTTGTTTTTAAAGGCTTATCAATGTTTTTTTTTTATGACAGAAAAATGGATAAGTTACCGAACCTCTTGAATTGCAACTAAAGCTTCAGCTTTCCAGCGATTTATATCCGGCGCAAGTTGGTAGGTAATAGCTCTTACCTATAAAAAATCATATTGAACATCAGAACCTTTTGATTAAGCTTCATAACTACTCTCAGCTAAATGATGCCACGTATTGCACGCACAAGGGCAATGGTAATGTCATCAAATTGGGATATTTCAGAGCCAAAGCTAGAAGTAAAATAAAATGTGACCTTTTCAAAATTCATCTATAACTCGTGCATTCAAAATTAATAGAGTTATTTCCATCTCAATTTGCCATTAACATTTTCAGTTGTATAGATGGATGTTCAATAAGTAGTGCATTGAAGACAATAAACTAGTTTAGGTATGTGCATACAATAAATAAGCACCCCAGGGAGAGAGAGAGAGAGAGAGCTCACTTCTCTAATGAAGCTGGCAGCAGGAATGAGCGGTTTCCAACTCTTTTGGTATTTCCGAATCTCTTGAAGAGCCCTAGTTCCCGGTCTAAAGCGATGAGGCTTCTTCGATGTTCCTTGAGCTTTAACAACCAAAAAGCATCAGATTAAATCTTTGATACGGCATGAAATTTGTTACTTACAGGGCAGGAAAAAAATTCAGATCTTGCTAAAACTCACACGGTGTGGCCTGTCCTCCAGTTTTTCTTGTCCTTAGAACACGAGCCTTCAGAAGCTCAAAATGCAAATTAGACCTCAGATTTATATTACAGACATGATAAAGAAATTATGAGACAAAGTAGGGGAAAAGAAAATAACAACAAAAAAATTGGTAAATTTAGATTTGCTATCAAAATTAATAGTTAGCATAACTGAGCAAATTTATGTTAAGTATTTCAAATTCTCGTTCTTGTCTTCTCTTTGTTGCTCTACTTAGTCATTAAATAAAGGAGGAAGACAAGTATATGTATATTGAATTTTTTTTTTAAAAAAAGCTAACGCTACAAAGCAAGGGATAAGATGAAGAAAAATCCAGCTTGGGAGACTAAGAAAATTTACCCAAAACATAAACATATTCGTCTCCTTCTTCTTTATTTTCCCCAAAATAATGGAAAATTCAACCAAAGCCCTAATTTTTGGCTTTTATGTCAACATGTTATCATCAACAAGACAATCCACAGAAAAAACTCAAACTACAAAAAAAAAATACAGAGAAAGAGAAAGCTACCGGACTGGTTCCCGGTGACGGCGTCGACGTTGAGGCCGCTGCGGCAGCTGCTTTTTTCGGATAATTTATATATATAAAAAAAGCCAACGTTTAGCAAAATCCTAAGCAAATTCGTTTGTTTAGAGAAAGAGAGATATTACCAGATGGCTTTGGTTTTCTTTTCTTCGCAGCGGTGTGCTTGGTTCTCGCCATGGCAGAAGCGATGAAATCCCTTTCCTTCAGCGCTTTTTTTTTTTCAAAAAATTTTGGCTGGGAAGACTGTATCCGAATAAAAATCAATCGTAATTGACTATTTTAAATTTTATTTCCCGCTTGTGGTCCGGGACCGACTCCGTTCCCTTCTTCTCGGGCTCCCGCCGCTACAATGGCTAGGTTTCCTTGAAACGTAGGCGTTTTGTCGTTTGTCTTCGTCGCCCGTTATAGCCCCTGCCACGCACGTGTTCGAAATTTTCCATTTCTTTCTCTTTCAACTACCAAAAACGCGACAAGTCTTCAACTTACATTCAAAGAAAATAGCGTGCAACTCTTTTTTTTTTTTTTATTTTATTTTTAAGTAAAAATGGAGTGCATTTTCGATATAAAATTTAAAGTGCATTTAATATTCAACACGATAGTTAATATATGATTCTCATTTAAAAAATAAATTTGATTTTCTCATTTCATATTTAATACATATTTTTCTACCTTTTTTATTTTTATTTTTTTAATATTATAGTTACATTATAAATAATAACTTGATACCACATCAAGTATTTCAAAAAAAATAAAAATTTTCAATCTTAAGCATTTCATAATCTATTAATTACTCTTTTTTTAAAAAAGAGTCGTTGCTCGTTACAAAGAAATATTATAAATTAAAAAGTAAATACGAGAAAACGTAAAAGTAGGATATTTTTGAACTGCTTGAAAGAACAATGTTGTTCACTTCTTTCTCTTAACGCAAATATGTCTCAAGTTTTCAGAAAAAACAAAGTCTTTGCCAACCTCCTGGCTCCCAGTTCGTTTTGCCATCCTCTTATTTTAATATATATATATATATATATATATATATTTAACCAGTTACTTCATATTTTATCCCTCTTAGAGAAATGACTCACCCAAGCCAAATTTAATGCCGCATGAACATGCTTTAAGTAGTGTGTATTCTGAGGTTGAATACTTGCTGGTGGTAATAGATATTCTTCCATTGAAACAACAAGCACATTGCTATGGAACAATACATTGCATCCTCAAGAATTTTACTCTAGGAGTTGTGGCACTCAAGTTTTTTATGATCAGGTAGCTATGTCGGAGACTCATCTACTTGGCTAAGCTGGCGAGTACGTCACTGAAAATCTTCCAACTCTTACGCGTTAAATCTTGAAAACAAAGAAGTAAATACAGCTAATGCAGTCTTGAGGCAATCATCATTCCCACTCTGGTCTACCCACAACAGTGCACTTGAACATCCACATCAAAGGCTAAAAGACATACTTTCAGATAAGCTAAATCACACAGCAACATCTACAAGATACCTTATAATTACAACATAGCGAAATGGAGTAGCATAGAAGACAGCAACAAGATATCTAGGCAGAAAAATATTATGCTTTGCACACATATATATATATATATTTTGGAGTGGTTCTCCTCTTCCCCTTTTTACTAGTTTCTTGATCCAAAAATCATTATGTGAGCTGGAAAACCATTTAACAGGAGGCTAGATTACACAACTCACTGGATAGCTTTGAAAGTGCCCTTCCAAACAGTTGCTTGCAGTAGAAATCCATACAGAGTTCAACGGAATTCTGAAATCTAGGGCTGTGATGGAGTAGGAGATGTTGGAGGCTTCAAATCTGGATACTGCAACCATAAAGAAAGAAATATGAGTAATGTTAGTATTTTTCCCATGTATAAGCAGTAGGAAGCAAAAGCAACCACTTGTCTATACAATGGCATAAGATAAAAATTATGAGGAATTTATGGAGTAATAAAAGTCGCATTACAGAAGCATATGGTGAAAGTGGTCTTGGAAATCCAGAGGGTTCATCTGCCTTGGCTTCCGTTGTAGGTACCGAATTGATTTGAGGAGGTGGTTCTGCTGCTGCTTCTACTCTCGGCTGCGATTTAGCCTCGGTAGGTGAAGGAAGAGCCTTGCCTGTGGTAGTCGTTGGTAGTAAGGCCACTCCAATTTGCTGAGTGTCACGCGTAGATACAAATATAGAGAATTATGATCATGGAAAAGAAGCAATGGTTTATAGTTAAGAAATTACAAGGGGAAAGAAGAACACATTCCAGTCTACAGCAGGTTATTGCAGTAATGTGCACAGCAAAAGTTTGTTTTTATGGTCAGAATAACTTTTCTTGGCAAGATGTGGATCTTGCTCAACAGATAAATAAAGCATACAAATAATAACCAGAATTTGTATCAAGTTTGGATACCTTTATCTCATCAACAAATTCATTAGGAGCAATCCTTGTGGTTAAAAATTCATCAACTTGTTGAAGAGTTTGCTTTCGGTCCTGTCACAAATAGCAGGGTAGAAAAGTCAAGCAGAACCATTTCATTTAGACCATAGGCTTTAAGAAAGACCAGAGATTTAAAAATTACGTGACATATTCGACAGTTGTGGCTTGTCAGGAACCATATTTTCCAAAGTAAGCTGGAAAATACTTAATTTTCAATTAAATTCATGAAAAAATAGCTCAAAAGTGGAGACTTGCCTCTGCAAATAGGAGTTTCTTGCTCACAAGCTGAACAATAGCAGCTGAGCCCAGAAGTTGAAGTATTGTTTCTAACTGAAGAAGACATGTGAACCACAATTTGAGTTGTTTGATGGAAAAAAAAATACTAAAGTCAAAACAAAACAATGATAAAAGCAAAAATAGAAATTAGAAGCTAATAATAGGACTTAAAAACCTAACCTCTGAAAATGCCAAGAAGCCCAATCCAGCAGCTGCAGCGATCCCTAGTGTAACAGAGAGGCCATCTGATCCCTCCTGCAGATTATAACCAATGTTACCATATAGATGGAAAACAAAGTAAAAAGGCTGCAGAACTTTCTTATAAAGAACATAGGAAGAAGGGTTGCTATTTCTCTTCTTTAATTTTTATGCATCTTGCCTCTGAACCGAAGGATATGTAAAAATCTCTATGAGATTAAACCCTTAGAAGTGCATAAGCAAATAAGTAATGAAGATACGCACTCCAAAGGCCCCGGTAATTGTTTCTGTCAAATTGCTAAGGTCAAGCCCTTTCTTTGGTGGTATCCAAGGAAGACCACTATTCTGCAAAATTGCAATCAGCCTCTCAAATGATGCAGCTGCTAAAAGGATAAGATACTAAACAGCAAAGAATTTAGAACAGCAAATACCATCCATCCTCGTGGTCCTTCTGCGCCATCTTTTACTGCATAAGCAGCTTTGAATCCATTTGCAGCGACTAATTCCGCAACCAGTTCGGAGTTCCCATTATATCTGGCTTTCAACACAAATTTAACAACGTTAGAACATGAACCTACTAGAAGTTCTAATTTCATCTTTCTTACAAAACACAATGCATATAAAGGGATGAGAGAGAAAGCAATTCTCAGTTTATTTTTACAACAGAGAGCAATTTTCAGGTTATAGTTACAACTAGAATGTATGTCATTGTCAGCCAAGCTTCCATATGTTATCAAAGAAACAACCCAACATTTAGAACTTAGACTATCAATTTAGAAATCTCCAACCTTGGAACAAGATACGGTTAATTTATGGCTTAGGATTTAGGAGACAGGCAGATGGCCATATCCTATTGTGTAGCTTAAGGCCAAAGAGCCTCCATATGTATTTCTGACTATTTTCTCCACAAGCAAGCAAACAAAACAAAGATCTTTTATTGTTAGTCCAACCAATACACAATGCAATTCATCTCAGATATGCAGAGACATCATCAATAGCAGTGGATCCTTAAACTAATTATAAATTATGGCAATGTCATATGCATATGCCTCGTGATTTAGAACCAAGAAGGTCAAGTTTTAGCACCAAATCACCTGGTGAAAAATGAATCAATAGCAGTGGTGATGTTATAAACAATGGCGGTGAACTTAAGTTTTTGAAATGCTGGTCTGTTTCTTTTCATTAATCAATTTTTCTATGTTGATTAATTTGGATTCAGTTAGTATGATTCATGCCCAAAATGCTAGGAATTCATACGAACAAATACATGGAAAAGGCATAGTTCCAAAATCTTACTTGTCTATGACGAACAAGGTCGTATTTTCTGGTTCCCTGAATTTCAAAGACAGCTTTTTTAAGAACCCTGGTTTGTCTTCGATATTAAAGGTAATTGACATAGGCTTCTTACCAAAACCCCTTACATCAGGACTACCAACTTCTCTAAACTCCTTGATCGCTCTTATATCAAGCAACTGAGCCGTGGCATCATCACCCAGCTTGGCATAAGCACTCTTTGCAGACTCAACTCCCCATGGCTTCGGGTTCTTCAACAGCTGAGACAAAATTAATGGAACTGCCAAAGCAACAGCACCGCCGGCTACAACTGTAGGATTCTCGGTTACAAAACTGACAACACTATCAACAACCCCATTTGAATCGAGACCAAATGACGAGGAGAAGTCCTTAGTCTGCTGCAGTGCTTCCTCGTATGATAAAGCTTTAGCAACACCACTGGTAAGAACGGAAGACAGCAGCACTACACCCCTATGCAAGCTTCTTGACAAACACTCCTGCAGAGTTGGTGTGGTCTTAATAAAAGCTGCAGAAGTTGGAAGTTTGGGTGGTGAAGCAATTGAGAGTGACGACACTTTTCTGGTCTCTGCTCTTCTCTCACAAAGAACTGAGAGAGGTGTCAAGCTCGCTGCATTGAGGGCCTCCATGGCATAATTTTGTGCAAAAGACGGCTTGTAGGATATCAAAGATATGATGGAGAAGCTTGAACCATCAGAAATCGAGGGTTTATGAGGATTTTGTTGTTCTTGTAGAATTGATTGGATGACAAAGCCTTAGCTTTTGGAAGGAGCAATTTGGCTGGTGTGTTGAATGCTGAAAGCGGCTGAGGTGGAATGAAATATGAGATCTCTGCCATTCATTGCATGACACATTGGAAGTAAGATCAGAGGCTTTTGATCATGTCCAGATGGACTTTCTGGTCTCAGCAGATTTGTGTGGCTGATAATTGTCAGGAGAAGTTTTTAGCAAACTCTATAGTACATCTAAAATACAGTGGTACCTTTCTTTTTGTACAAAAAATACAGTACTACCATAGCTACTATTGTAGTGCCAATCATTCCAGGCTCTTTCCTAATTTCCTCCACACAAGCAGGATGATTACCAATTCAAAATTTTAATTATCTTCAATTTACCAGAACTAGAGAAATAGTAGTAGCAAGCTAAAAAGCTAATGAAGACAAGGATCCTTCTACCGGATTCAATTGGGTACCCAACTATTTGATTCCTTAATGAACGGTTTCGATGTCATTGTGAGATTTGTCTGGAGTCCAAAATGTAAATCTTGCATGCCTTCTTGGAAAAGAGTGATGTTATGGTCGGATTAGTCATGTTAAGCCCATCAATTAATCAAATCCTAGATCTTTAACTGGCGTTCACCTTTCTTTGGACCAAAGAAGACACAGAGTTCGTATCAAAACCCTGAACTCTGTCGAATTAGAAGAGGAAAAACCCATAGCAAAAGCTAACAACAAGAGACCTTTTCTTTTTGTATATGGCTCAGAGCTAAAAAAATTGCTGGATGGATATGCAAGAACGCCCATTTGTTGATGTGGCATTTGCTGTTTAATGCGAAAGACCAAACCACAGTTTAGTGTCTTGGAGGATCCAATAACTGGACGGTGCAAAAAGACATATTGCAAAGACAAGGAGATCAGGAGAGACATATACATCGTGGAAATCTGATTTCAGCTCAGATCTTATAGGACTCCTTGGCATACGGTATCTAACTGAATTTCTTCCATTAGAAAAGACAGATGAATAAGGGGAAAACCCCAAACTTAAGTTGCATTGCCTAAAAAGAACAAAATTGGAATGGTTACAGAAGACCAAAAAAATAATCCAAGCCTTGCCCAATTTCCCATATTGAAATGCCAGTTCCCCATGACCGCGCTTCCTCTAGCCGCAAGTAAATTGACATCAACGATGGGTAGAACACTGCATGTCTGACGTTGTTTTCATCAGAATAAACGAAAAAATGCTCTCCGCTGTTCTTTTCCCATTGTATTAGGGGCCTGTGCTTCTCCAACAATGAGAGGTAATCCCTACCAACAACAGCTGCACCACCAGAACCTGCTCAATATGGACAAGGAGAAACCTCTTATGTCACACACAAAACTTGTCTTTTAACAAGCTTAATTCAAGATACACCACAAATATTATAAGTTACAACATAGAGTGGAAAGTATACTTAAGACATAAAAGGCCATGTTAAGCATAAGCCAAGGAGTCAATATCAAGTTCACATATTTCTGAAGATTACTAGGTCGACGTATATGATTTACTGCTAGATGGTCTTCCATGGAAGATAGATGCACGATCACCTTAACAAATAAGGGAAAAGAAGATCTAATACCTCCTGAAAGGATGAAATCATTTCCATAAAAGTTGATGCCAAGAAATATCTTTGGAGCCAGGTTCTGAGTGTTGTTACCAGGGGGGCCAAGAAGCAACTGCAAGGTAAAGCGTATCCATTGAAGAGGTGCATTTGGACCTGGATTGTTAGGACCTGAGAAGTCATAGGTCATAAGTGAGAAACCATCCACAGCATCACTCAAGCTCCGAAGATCTTCTGGTCCAAAATCATGTTGCTGGAGCTTCTCTGAATGTGGTGGGCCTATAACATACACCAACTGCAATTTTTGCTCAGGATTCCTTGTTGATCTCACAGAATGCAGTGCATGTCCAAGTTGTTTTATAAACTTGAGCGCCTAGATGTGAAAACAGAAGAAATCTTTCAAACCTCATAAATCAAAAAGAACTTAATTTAGGTTGACCATTTCATTTCAAATCACTAAAGATAAGGAATTGTGACTGATCATAAAGAGAGAATGCTTGATGATCATATGAACCTCAAGGTCTATTATTATATAATAAAACTGAAAGCCCAAGCCTTTCTACGTACTTATTTCCTATAGCAAAGGGACATCAATTTAGATGTCACTAACAGCTAGCCTCAAAAGAAAACTTATAATAATTTAATTGAGGCTTTATTCTTATAAACTTAATATAGAGCTAAGTATGAGGTGGAGAAAGGGAGCATAATGCTATTGAACCCCAAAGAAAAAAGGATGAAAAGAATCAAAGGATTTTGATAAAAGAAAAACAATGTAAGGAGTGAAGAAAGATTTGGCATGCTCAGGCAGCAAAATTCCACAAACTGCCACTTCAAAACATGTTTAAACCCCAAGTCTTGGGAACCAGAATGATACAGTTTTTAACAAAGAGGAAACATCAATTGAGGTGAGGATTACCATATTCCTCATGTCTGGATCATGCAAGACACCATATGCAGCCCATCTTGACCAAGACTCTAGCACAATACCATCATAGTCCATTTCTCTAAACATTGAGGAAAGAATCCACACAACAAATAACATTAGAGAACCTCAGCATTTTGTTTAGGAAGTGCAGTTGAAAAATGTCTTCTGTAACAAGATATGCCTCCAAAAGAACATAGAATAAGAAATGGGGGTTTACTTGCACTCTGTTACTATGAGATCAATAGCTTTATCCCTCTGTTTCTTCTTTTTAAGCAGCTTCGTAGGAAATGCTTCCAGAACTACTCTAGGTAATACCTACATATATAATATATCAAAAATATAATATTATGATAATGGAAAATTCCAAACAAAAAAAAAAAAATACCAAAGCATCTCCTTTCATTCTAAGCTCTGACAACCATCCTTTATCAGCATTATGTCTCCCATCCATAACTAAGCTGCTTCCTTGGCTGGCAACAAAGATTTTACTTTTACTTTAATATTTGAACAAAAAAAACAAACAAAGATTTTGATTTTTAGAAATTTAAAAGGAATGCTAACATCAAATTTGTTGATTCAATATTGGATATACCTTTTCAAATCATACCAAACAGGTGATAAGTGAGTAAACTTAGAATTAAACCTGTTTGCCATTTCATAGCCCCTCGAATTCCTGCAAAAATTTTCATGACATAAATCAAGAATTTCATTTCCACCAACATTTGAATAAAGGCACCCCTTGAGATGATCTTACCATGGGGTAATGTAAGCCAACACGGGATAATCATAATGCCGTTGCGACGCATTTTCTGGTATCTTCAAATTCTCCTGAAATTACTTATAATTTGAAAATTTTAGCCAAAAAACAAGGAAAAATTTCTCTTTGATAAATAAGCTCAGTCTATTTATTTATTTATTTTAAGTACGGTTCTTACAGCGAGGATCTCTTGGTAACTAATGTCGGTTTTGATAAGTCCTCGTTCAGTTACGACCGGTTCGAAACGTTTCGTACCTGAACCGTATTTGATGCTGTATACGAGTACAGATATGGCTGGAATTACGATGAAGAAGACTACGAATATACCGATAAGCTTACAATCCGAAGCATCTGAGTCGCTGAATTTGTCTTCTCGAGTTGCCGTTCCGACTCGCTCTTTACGCCGGTCCTGACTCTGCTCCACTCGGCGCTCCCGCCTCCTCGCCATTTCTCTCTCTCTCTCTCGTTTCCAGTCCAAGTCAATACTTCAACAACATAAATAGTTCAGCTGACAAAGAAAAAGACTTCCCAGTTTTAACTATTTGATTTAATATGACAATTTTGCCCTTCGTAATATATAATTTTACATTGAAGTCCCTCGATAAGTTAATAGTAAGATAACAAAAATCTCAATTGAAAAATATCAGTGAAAAGGGGTTTTGGCTTGCTCATAAACCCTGAACATTCAATTTCAATCCTAGACGAGCTTCACCCTCTACCCTGAACAGGTAATTCTTCCATCTAACTTTGTTTCTTTTTTGTATATTTATCTCAATTTTTAACAATTGAACATGGAACCTGGCCTTGTGCTTGCTTCAAACAAATCTTCAATGTCAACTTCTTTTCCCCTGTTTCTATCTTACAAATTTTCATTTCATGGAAAACCACAACTTTCTATGAAATCCCATCTCCATTCCTCAACCAAATTTCCAGAAAAGACGCCATTTTTGGGACAAAGCTTGGTTTTTCAAGATAAGGATTTTACTTCTTTGGGTAATCTGAATAAAACCCATGTCCCTTTTGAGCCAATAAGAGCTGCAGTTAAGAGAAGAAAAGAGCTTCCCTTTGATAATGTGATTCAAAGGGACAAGAAGCTTAAATTGGTGTTAAAGATAAGGAAGATTCTTGTGAGTCAGCCTGATAGAATCATGTCACTTAGGTCATTGGGAAAGTATAGAAGAGACTTAGGTCTCCAAAAAAGGCGTAGATTTATTGCTTTATTGAGGAAGTTTCCTGGAGTGTTTGAAATCATGGAAGAAGGGGCTTTTTCATTGAGGTTCAGATTGACACCCGAAGCGGAAAGGCTTTTCTTGGATGAGTTGAGAGTTAGGAATGAAATGGAAGGTTTGTTGGTTGTTAAGTTAAGGAAGTTGTTGATGATGTCATTGGAGAAGCGGATTTTGCTGGAGAAGATTGCACATTTGAGGACTGATCTTGGGCTTCCTTTAGAGTTTCGTGACACGATTTGTCTGCAGTACCCTCAATATTTTCGTGTTGTTCAAACTGAACGAGGCCCTGCTTTGGAATTAACTCATTGGGATCCTGAGCTTGCAGTGTCAGCAGCTGAATTAGCTGAAGAGGAGAATCTAGCCAGAGAGTTGGCAGAGAAGAACTTGATTATGGATAGGCCACTTAAGTTCAATAGAATTAAGCTTCCTAAGGGTCTTAATCTTTCCAAGGGTGAAATGAGAAGGCTATGCCAGTTTAGAGACATGCCTTACATATCCCCTTATTCAGACTTTTCAGGATTGAGGTCGGGAACTCCAGAGAAGGAAAAGCATGCTTGTGGGGTCGTACATGAGATTTTGAGCCTCACTGTTGAGAAGAGAACTCTAGTGGATCATCTCACTCACTTTCGAGAGGAATTTAGATTTTCTCAGCAATTGCGAGGGATGATAATAAGGCACCCTGATATGTTCTATGTGTCTTTGAAAGGGGATAGGGATTCTGTTTTCCTTAGGGAAGCTTATCGAGATTCTCAATTGATTGATAAGGATCCACTGTTGCTTATTAAAGAGAAGTTCCGCTCTCTTGTTGCCATTCCTAGGTTCCCTAAAAGGGGTGGTTTGAAGAAGGATGCTGATGGTAATGAAGAAAGAGACACGTCAGAGGAGGCAAGCGATGATGGGGGAGGATGGTCTGATATGGATAGTTATCTGAGTGATGGTGGATTTAATGACGATAAGGGTGATGAAGATGATGATGACTATGAGGATGATTGGAGTGATGAAGATGATGATGCACCACCAGATTTTGATGAAGATGATGAACCTATTAAGATTGGATTGAGCAAATCAATTAAGCAAGCAGATTACTTAGCAAAGAAAGAAGAGAAATTGCTTGTTCCTGCATTTCCTGATGGTCGGCCAAGAGAACGTTGGTAAAAAATTTTGCAAATTTGCTAGAAACTGAGGGCTCCCATTAGGTTTTTGACCCCTAAATGATTGCGTATGCCTTCTTAGCTTCAAAATTTTTTCTCTGGAGAGTGGAGACAGAATCCAGTTTACGGTTTGATGAGGTTCCAAATCTTATCTCTTGGAAGCTTGGGAAGTTCTAGCAGTTGCAGATGGGCATCAATTAGTCTATGATACAAATTTTCTATGTATGTAAATGGCATCAATGTAATGTTTTCTAAGTCAATGAAGCACCAAAAGAGAAATCTTTATGAAAGATGAACCTTGTAGGCACTTCCAGTATGGAACGGTTCATGCCCTTTGTTAATATAATAAGACATTACCAGTGATCTAAACAGAATTACTCTAGTGAAATGTTCTTTTTTATCTTTTTCCCTTACTACATTGCATTTATCACATTGAAATGGCTGGCTGGAGCTCAGGAAAAGCTTCATTGATGATTAATGCAATTCTGCAAGCCCTAAAGTGTATACCTAGTTCATATCTGCAATGATTTAGGACTCTCTGTTGGATGTTAATTTATTTTTATTGCCTTAGGAGGCATGCAAGGGGCACTATTTCCACTTATGAAATTTATCCTATTTTGCAGTTCATCTGATCTAAGTTTAACTTCTAGTTCTAGTTTCCTGCTCAGCTTGTTGCCCAATGTGTCCATTTTTGCTTTTTAATTAAGATGCGAATGTGCTAACAGCTTGCTGGCTTGGACAAAGAAAACTGAATGGAAGATCACTACCATTGCACTCAACTTACCTCAATTTGCCAATTGTGGACCATGTTTTTTTTTTTTTCGAAAGGCCATTATGGACCATGTTACCTATTGTATTCTGTCAGTTACTCTTTCTTTGCTTAATGTGTTGTTATATTTACATTTCAATTAGGCTATTAATATTTCATCAAAAAAAGAAAATTAGGCTATCCATGTTTCCACAGTTGGTGCACAAACTTGACTGCTTGAGTATGCATTTGAAATCCAACCTTATGATATCTGAAACTGAAACATTAAAAGATTCGGAAGAACCATATGCAATCTGTTGGTATGTTGAAATTTTTTAAAATTATTTCTCCATCTACATATTTCACCGTAAAATTGCTCCTTCTTGAGCAAAGTTTGAAGTGCTAAATATATTTGGATTGAGTTCAGGGTAAGCTTGTCATGCTTGCCAAGCGTTGCTTTTGGTGAAGCATACAACAGAATGTTCTCTGCAAACCCAAGGTGCTGTATGTGGTGAATAATTGAAAACACAGAGATAGAAAGATAGGTATCTACTTTCTAACCTATAGTGACATTAAGCAAATATACTACTTTACAATTTATTTTTAAGTTGCTTTCTCTGGTTAATATTCCTGTGTTTTAATTTCTTGCATTCATTTGGCTGCAAGAGAAGGCAAAGGATTAGATGGGGCACAAAGAAAGAATTATGGAGCTGTGTCTGGTAAGACATACATCAGGTGAGCTGATTGAAGCAGTGATCCATGAGATGTCTGAGAATCTTGGTCGATAAATGGTCTCATATCTTGATGATTTGTTCAAGATATGGTTTACATTTTTCGGACTGTTGAAATGTTCCATTCGATATGGATATTATTGTTCTTGCGTGGACTTAATAAGGAAATGGACGTGACTGAGATGCCAAAACTGCTTTATTCTTTGTTGAGATGGATTGCCTCTCTATGGCTCTTCGGGTCCAATTCGTTTTTGCCATTTGGGTATTAGCGAGTGTGAGAGAGACCCAAATTTTGAGAATCTGTGCTTGAGGATCAAATTGCGCCTCTGATTCACACTTCAATAGATTCGTTAACTACAGTCTATCACGTGAAACTCATCTAATGAACGATTGTGAGATGAATGAAATTAGTTAGTGCATGCATTTTCTGGCCTATAAAAGGGTCGTCGTTAGCCCACTCCTTACTCAAGTTGCTCAAGTGAGTCTTTTGAAGTAGGCATATTTGAAAGATCTCTTGATCAATCTAGCTAGTCGTCAGACTAGGCCAAGGCACAGGTTGTTCACTCCCCCTCAAGGGCTTCCAACTTCGCCAGCTTCGGTAGTGTTTGATGTCTCAGGGCATCTGTGAGTAAAGTGAAGCCGGCTGGAGGCTCTTGCCGGGTACCTGAGCAAACTGTTTCTTGCTTTGGGAGGCGTCCGATCTGTTGACAATGGCAACCCTTTTTCACTCTCTTTCGAAGGCTTCAAACTCAATAAACTAAAGTTCGAAGCCTTCAAAGAGAGTGAAGAAAAGTTGTCATGATTTTCCAGGCTTCGAAGCTGGGAACATATGCCTGCTCCTCCTGCTTTCTTTCTATTTTCCAGGTTTTATTTTTGGTTTTAGATATTTGATTAGCTGTAAAACTGAAAAATATACTCGAAGAAAAGCATTTAGGCTTTTGGAAGACGCCAAACTGCAACACAGATTATGTGGCTATGGACAAGATTTTACCTTGATCTTAATATTTGCTAGCTAATTGTTAATTACAACTATATTTACCGGCCTTTTTTTGTTTTGGTACCTCTCTTCTAACATTGATAATCCGTTGGTGCTTCAGACCCCATGGATGCTTTTCTTGAATATTACTAGTCGCAACCGGGGGGTGGGTTGATCTCAATGGGTAGCAAGCTGCTTAAATTTACGAAGTGCTTGAGGATGCCAGAAACACATGAACCGAGATCAAGCTCTGCCTAGATTTCTGCTTTAGAATTTAATCTGTTCCTGTGTGTTTATTTTTGGATTAGATCCATTCCTAGATCGGTCTCTGGTAATGAATAGTATTGTTTTTTTTTACAGTCACATGAAAAAAATGAATGACAATATCTTAAACCCATTCCGTGGATCAAGATTCTGTACTGGTACCCGAATTATCTCAACGGTTAAATAACATCTGGTAACATGCACAAATTGCCAATCAACACTGCTACTACTTAATTTGCCATCAATGGTGGGGAAGAAATTTCTCGCATCTGCCTGTTGATGTTTCCAAAGAAGTGGTGAAAGCGCCAACAAGAGAAACGCTTTTGGACATAAGGAGACAAACAAAGCTAAGACAACATGATTAGATAAAATCCTTATCCACGAAATCCAAAGGCCTACGCTTTTCTTTCATCCAGCAGCGTCACAGGAAAATGAAAACAAAAAACCCAATGAGATACCCTTAACCGCCATTTCTTCAAAACCAAACCACCTTCACCATCTTCACTTCATCTCCCAACCGCCAAAAAACCCTCCATGGACAAAATAGCTCTATTCCGACACTACTTTAATCTATCTCTTCATCAAAACCCACTGATCCAAAACCCAACAAAACCCTCTAAAATTTCACCTTCTTCTGTAGCTCTTACGCCCACATTCACCTATCCTGAAATCCAACTCTCCACTTTTTCGCTTCCAAACTCTTGGTCAAGTCTCTCTTCTTCGGGCACTTTCGACTTTTCCGATGAGGTGAAAAGGGTCAATAGTTTGGAGACGGTTAAAGTCTTGCAGGCCAGGTCGCTTAAAATGTGCAATGATTGGAGTTCAGATTCCGTGGCTAAGAGTTTAATCTCGAGTTATTTGAAATTTGGCGATTTTAGAGCAGCTACGATGGTTTTCTTCATGGCTTTTGATCGGAATTACGTTTTCTGGAGTTCTTTTTTGGACGAGCTTCATAGTTGTGGGGGAGAGACACGTGGAGTTCTTGAAGTTTTTGGTAAATTGTATAATAAAGGAGTGAGTTCTGATAGCAAAGTTCTTACCTTGGCTCTGAAGATGTGTGGTAGTTTGATGGATTCATGGCTGGGATTACAGATTCATGCTGATTTGATCAAGAAGGGTTTTGATTTTGATGTATATTTGAAGTGTGCGTTAATGAATTTATATGGGAGGTGTTGGGATTTGGAGAGTGCTAATCAAGTTTTTAATGAAATGGTGGAAAAGGAAGATCCTGCATGGAATGAGGCTATCATGGTAAACTTGAGGAATGAGCGATGGGAGAAGGCTATGGAGTTGTTTAGAGAAATGCAGTTTTCTTCTGTCAAAACTAATAGTGGAACCATTGCGAAGATGCTGCAAGGCTGCAGCAAAGTGGGAGCTGTCGAGGAAGGAAAGCAAATTCATGGGTATGTAATAAAATTTGCAGTGGTGTCCGATATGTCAGTATGTAATTCCTTGATTAATATGTACTCAAAAAATAATAGACTGGAACTTGCTAGGAGAGTTTTTGATTTGATGGAAGATCATAACCTATCTTCATGGAATTCCATAATTTCAAGTTATGCTGCTCGTGGTTATTTGAAGGATGCTTGGGATTTATTAAATGAAATGGAATCATCTGCTATGAAACCTGATATAATAACCTGGAACTGCCTTCTCTCTGGCCATGCCGTTCATGGCTCTTATAAAGCTGTCCTGACAATATTGCGAAGAATGCAAGTAATGGGTTTCAGGCCAAATTCGATCTCTGTCACCAGTGTTCTTCAAGCTGCTGCTGAATTGGGGATCTTGAATTTGGGGAGAGAAATTCATGGTTATGTTATAAGAAATAGGCTTGATTCTGATGTATATGTAGGAACTTCATTGTTAGACATGTACGTGAAGCATGATTGTCTAGGAAAAGCTCAGGCAGTTTTTGATAACATGAATAACAGAAATATTGTTGCTTGGAATTCGTTAATATCAGGATATTCCTTCAGAGGCCTTTTGGAAGATGCTATAAACTTATTGAATGGGATGAAAGAGGAAGGAATAACGCCAGACCTAGTGACATGGAATGGTCTGATTTCAGGGTATTCCATTTGGGGCCGCAGTAACGAGGCTTTGGCCCTGATTCATCAAATAAAAACTTCAGGAATGACTCCCAATGTGGTATCTTGGACTGCTCTAATATCGGGCAGTTCACAGAATGGAAACTATAGGGATTCCCTCGAATTTTTTATTCAAATGCAACAAGAAGGTATCAGGTCCAACTCTGTCACCATATCCAGCTTACTTAGAAGTTGTGGAGGTCTATCTCTGTTACGGAAAGGCAAAGAGATACACTGCGTCAGCATAAAAAATGGATTTATTGAAGATGTGTTTGTAGCTACAGCACTTATTGACATGTATAGTAAATCTGGCAATTTGAAAGCTGCTTATGAAGTTTTTAAGAGGATTGAAAATAAAACATTGGCCTCTTGGAATTGTCTCATAATGGGGTTTGCGGTCTATGGCCTTGGTAAAGAGGTGGTCTCGCTCTTTGAGGAGATGCTTGGAGCAGGCATCCTACCAGATGCCATAACGTTCACAGCTGTACTCTCTGGTTGCAAGAATTCAGGTTTAGCTGACGAAGGATGGAAATATTTTGACAGAATGAGCTCTGATTATAGTATAATACCAACAATTGAACACTATTCTTGTATGGTAGATCTTCTGGGAAGAGCTGGATATCTTGATGAAGCCTGGGATTTCATCCAAAAAATGCCATTGAAACCGGATGCTACTATATGGGGTGCTCTTCTTCTATCCTGCCGAATCCATAAGAACATGCAATTCGCAGAGATTGCTGCGAAGAAAGTTTTCAAGTTAGAACCATATAATTCTGCAAATTATGTTTTGATGATGAATCTGTATGCCATGTTTGACAGATGGGAGGATGTTGAGCGTATCAAAGATTTGATGAGAAATAAAGGTGTGAAAAATGGGCAAGTCTGGAGCTGGATTCAAATTGATCAGATGGTTCATTTATTTTCTGCGGAAGAGAACCATCCAGACGAAGGGGAGATATATTTTGAGTTGTACCATATGGTTTCTGAAATGAAGAAGCTTGGGTATGAACCTGATGTCAAGTGTGTTTGTCAGAACATTAATGACAATGAAAAGGAGAAGGTGCTGCTGAGTCACACAGAGAAATTGGCCATAACTTATGGGCTAATCAAGTCAAGAAACGATGCGCCTATCAGGGTAATCAACAACACAAGGATTTGTCCCGACTGCCACACTGCGGCTAAATACATATCTCTGGTAAAGAAGCGAGAGATTTTCCTACGAGATGGTGGTCGGTTTCACCATTTCAGTGAAGGGAAGTGTTCGTGCAATGATTGTTGGTAACATGGGGCCTTAATGTCTTTCACTCTCTGATCTGAACCATCATGCGAAATCCTGCAGAAGGTGGAAACCAGCACTTTCTCCTGCTCAAGCAGAAGAAATACATCAACCAGGTGGGAAGGTCATTCTTTTTCTTTGACAATGGAAGGACAATCAGATAATTTGATTCTACACTCATCAGCAACAGATAGCAGAAAGCAATGCAGGCTTGAGAAGAGTACAATCCAGACTTAGCGACATGTATATTTTATAAGCCACTTACCTTAATTCGTAGAAGTTCAAAAGCATTTTTTTTGGTACATAAAAGCATTTTCAAGGAACCATTACATTGTTGCAACTTCAAAACTAAAAGTATTACATCCCCACAAGCTTTCAAAATATGGAATGAAATATTATGTTTACTAATTTGCCATGGCATACTCTCACTCATGCCTGCCGCTTCCATTCCTTCCTGCCAACGAGGAGAATTTGACACACATCCACCAGCCAACCGTCGGGGCGGGTAACCCACAATCCACCGCGTGCTGCCCCGGAAACATTTGTAAACCAATCATATTGGACCAGGTTCAAAAAGAGAGCTAATCACGAGTTGTCCAAGAGTGTACACGTGTAGGGAATTCAGTCCAGCAAAGATGAGTGATTGGTTACGCCATGAACTTTCCTAGAGTGGTAGGTCTAACCTAAAGAAAATCGTCACAAGATCTTTGAGTTAGCGTGCTCTGCAACTTCATGACTCAAAAAGCGACCCCTTGGTGCATTTCCATAGTGCACCCGCACTTTCTACACTCAAATTCAGAGGCTGAGAACTGAAACGACACTTGATAAAAGTGCTTGACAGTTGAAAGGCATAGGTTAATAGTTTACCTAAACAACGAGGAAAACCAGAAAAGATACCAACAAGAAAATTATTGAAAAGACACAATTATGTACATAAAGAAAAGAAAAGAAAAGAGCATAAGTGTTACTTAAAATGGTTCCACAAATCCATCGTGCACCTACATCTGTGGCTACAATATGTAAATAAAAGCTTCCATCTTTTCTTATCTTACATAAATATTTACAAATAAGACCATAGTAACGTACGTAATTACCACCATTGTACAAAACCCAGAAGAAGAGAAACAAACGGTGGAAAGAACCCCATCTTCGACTTGTCGGGAACCCCATTATAGAACAGAAATTTTGGTGCCTTGTAATGAATTTGAAACCTCAAAAGATAACTACTGAGTCATTAAACAAAAAAAAAAAGAAGCTAAGAAAGCAGAAAAAAGAGTGCTAAGGGTCTCCCTCTCCCATAACAAAGTTAAAATCACATCGAGCAATGTATCCAAAACTTGTCCAGATCATGAAATCCACAGCTCCTGTCCCCCACCGCTGTCTACAAAAGCTAGTTTTTTTTGGCTATCAAAATTCCACCTTTCTCGATTAATATGGGTTGACAGGCTCTGTCTGGTCCAGCACAGCCATCCTCACTGAAACATCGGCTAAGGATTTCAGATTACATCGGATTAAAGCCTCCACGAAGTAACATGTTTCATCGTTGGTGTTCCCTTCAGGCACATCCACAACGAATGATTCGATCACCATTGTCCCTGGCCTTCCTTCAATAACTTCAGGATGGACCGTTATGATGGAAGAATAGTTCTGCAAAAATCAGCAAACAAATCAGTATACTATAACAAAATAAATTCTTCTTTCAATTTTTTTAAATAATAATGAAAAAGAAAGAGCAGAGGATAAAGAATTGTATTAGTACCCTGAGGCGGTGATCGCCGCCGACGATTTTCATGCCGAGAATGTGTTCTTCATCATCAAGAAGTTCTAATCGTTCGGTGCTGGTGGTGGCGGGAAGGCCGGATTTGACGTTAACTTCTCTAACACTACCAATTCCGAGGTCCCCTTTCATGATGCACCTGCTTACGAACGGCTTGTATTTCTGCGGCTGATCAAATCGCCTTACCAATGACCATACCTAACCAGGCCGTAAACCATTAGTTGCAATGATAAAATTAACAAAAACTACTTCTCTACTACAGAACAGAACTCTTCTACTAACAACGTAGTACTAACTCCAACAATTCCGATTCCGGTGCCTGAAAAAACAGATGTAATAAAATACTAATCAAATCAAATACTCAGACATTTAGGAAATATCGAAGTAACGGTACTTCATAGATCTTAGTGAAAGGAGTGGTGTTGGTCAGAGAAAAATCTAAAAAACCAAGAAGTAGTCGTGGAACTTCTCCCATTAAATTTCTGACGTGAACATAGATTTGACTTTTGTTTAACAACTAAGTAAAACTCAGAAAGAGATGAGGATTGCAGCAGATCCATCGGGGAGAGAAACACCAAGTCAAAGGCCCATCCGGTTGGCGTGACAAAATCGAACATATCGAAGAGGCACTAAGCACTAGAAAGGGAGGGGATAACAGGGGGAAAAAAAAAGGAAAATTTGAAAGACAGAGAAACTTACGAGATGAACAGGAGCTTTGATGTGTTTCACAAGAGCAGAGGTGCACTGGTCGTCTCTGATCTCGTGCCTGTGGTGTCTCCGTACGTACTGCGCCTCCATCGTACTGTACCCATCACCACCGTTCATTTTTTTTTTCCTTTCCCTTTTCCTGACTGATATATCTGAATCTGCTCAATGAACTATAAAAAAACCACCTTACTTCTCTGTCTTTGTCTCAAGGAATAAGTAGCTGGAAAAAATACAGGAGAGTTCTAGAGACGATAAGCTATAAGCCTTTTTGTTTCTATTTTCTTTTGGTTTTGCAGGAGATTCGCTGTGCAAGTACAAAGGGGCCTTCCCCTCTTAGCTTTAGCTTTTAGTTTAGGTTTTTAGCTTTAAGAGGGGCTTTGGTCTTTAACTTGGCTTGGCAGTCTATCAAAAATCTATGAAACCACCGACAATTTCAATTTTTATTCTATCCATAATAATAATAATAATTATTATTATTATAATAAAAGCCCGGAAGCCTGCTTTCAGCTTTTCCCCTTGGGTCCACTGTCCTCTTCAAATTGCCCTTATCCTCTTGTAATTGGAATTGGTTTTTACTTTCTTTAATCCTTTTATTTTTCCATTAAAAAGAAAATACTAAGAATAACATAATTCTTCTAACGTTACTTATGGTGGTAATGAGTTTCCCTCACAGTCCACTCTTTTGCCTCCGATTCCAAGTGGACATTGCCCTTTAATTTTTGGCACCATATTTTTTCTGTTCTCCTTATCAAAAAGTTAGGTGCAAATAATAAAATCAGAACTACCATGAAGTGGTCGTGACGTGGAGATGATTTTACCCCTTTTTTTTTCTGTTTTGAAAGGCATATTCATTACAATACAATCTGCATCTGCCTGAGAAGGCAGTTGGCCAAGCACAATAAAAAGACTTGCCTGAACCAAAAAATCAACACAGAAGCCAAACCAACCTGTAATAGTGGTTGCCAGTTTTATTTCCTATTTTATTGCCTGACCCAAAAGTCTTTTCCTAGTTTTATTAACTATTCTAGATGAAATCGGAAATTGCAATACTCACTTATCTCGATCTTTCGAACCCATTTTATATTATTATTTCCCACAAAGTTTTTGGTTCGATATATCATTTGTCAGGATTCTGTTGCCTTGTGCCTCAGCATAAGGCAATTGACTTAGGCGCTTAATTAATGATAATAATTTTTTGTTGAATCAATTTGTAGGAGGAACGGTGGAGGAAGTCACCACAAAACTGACAGGCGATTCGTAGCCATTGAAGGATCTTGTGGGATTCAACGTAACCACGACAGCATTGAAATTTTATCTCCACATTTTAAGATAAAATCAATTGAATTTCCATCGCCCGTCGACCCCAACCCCCCAAAATAGAAAATTCTTATCATCTGCTTGGCGCAATTTACGCAAAAGACAAAATTGAATCTAATCCATTATTGCTTTCATTCCAGGCTAAACTGTTCATATTTCCTTTTCGTCAAGCACCAAAAATAAAAAAACATTTCCCTACTATTTTTTGTCCAATACCCAAAATAGCTGATACAATTATTGACAAAAAAGGCATTTATTTTTCTTATCACTAGTATAAACTACTTTAAAAAACCCCTTTATTTATTTAGTAAAGTTTAAATATGTTTTTATTGCTTATTATTTTTAATCAAATTTTTATATTTTTATTTTAAATTAAATAAATTTTATAATTAATAATTATTAATTAATATATCATTTATCATTATATATCATATTACTCTAACTTAATATATTAATTTATTATAATAAAAAATAATATGATTATTTGAAATTTTTCATCACATACATCAACACTACTACGTTAACCTGTTTTTGTTATCACTCTTTTGTACCAAAGTTAACCTCTTTTTTAAGATTAATAGAGTTTTAGTCCTATTTTGTTTTACCCAATTTAAAAAGAAAATAAAAACGAGCTCTTTATGATCATTGTTGTGGCAATACAATTTAGGCAGAGGCATGAAGAGATGGGGTTAGGTCAAGTAGTGGGTGGCAGGAAACTGTTTGGGGAGGTCTAAAAGTTTGCAGAGAGGACCCACTAATAAAAACATTGTTATTGAACAAGACATTTTATGCTGCAAAAAAAGAATAATTCAGGAATCCACCCTTTTTGCCATGTTCAATGCTTCTGTCCCGTTTTCCGTTAGAAAGTAAAATCCCAAAGCTTTGAGTTGAAGCTAAATTACCAAAAATATTTTAACACCAGGGCACAGGAAGTCCACCTAGGGGAAAATGCCAAATGGTGGGGACCTCCACGTTTTTTTTACTACCCAGTGAATTTTAGTTGATAATCATTAAAAAAAAATATCTATCACCACCCACATCAAAAATATCTAGTTTTATACAATCACAAACAATCTAATTTCTAATCATTTAATAAAAAAAAATTGCTTTTCACCAACATTATGACTTTGTTGTATAATGAGAATTTTGAATTTTCGTTACATTAAACCGCGTCGGACGCATATGTAATATAATTATTTTAGTTTATTACGCGTGGAAAGAACAAACTCATGGTTTTGTTTTACATTATACTACTATTTGCTTTTCGATCTTGGTGATGATATGCCATTGTGATATGAAAACTATGTGCAACTGTAAAAAGTCCATATTCTAGCGTGAGAATATAATGAAGAATTCCTTTGTCCGGCGATGGCAACATATTTTTTTTAACCTGACACTTGCCGATGCTAGATTCCTAGGTTAATTTTGTTATGCCATTGTTCCAGGCTTTTCGATCCACCTTGTAGGTGGTGCATAAATTTATGTGTTAAGCATCCAACCCCCTCTTTAATATCTTGTGTCCTGGAAAAACCATTTTTGCCTTATTTTCTACTAAATAACTTTCATCTACCATCAAATCCAAGTTCAGTTACTTTTAAGTTTACATAGAGCAGTCAGAAAACAGAGGACAAAAGTTTTTACAGGCTTCTCGAGACAAAGCAGAAAACGGTGAAGACTTGGTCAAGCTTGCAGATGTGGTGCTCATGTGGTCCAATTACTGTCTCTGTTCGACATCGTGTTAAGTATTCAAATTTGACCCACCCTTCGCCATCACCCATCAATCACTGCTGTATTCAAAAGCATACAGCAAATCCTTTTATTTTTTGTGTGTTTGGCACACATGTTGCGATGTAATTGGACAGGAAAAGTTTGTGTATATTGGCAAAATGGAGTTTCGTGTTTGTTTGTTAACAGTGCATGAAATTTCTTCTTTCTTCTTTTTCCCCTCCATAAACTGCAATTTTATTGGATGGATCACAAGTGAGTTCCATGGATCAATCCTAGAATGACACACTTCAAAGCAATGAGAAAACTGTCAGCCTTTTTTTTATGAACCATCGTCCATCAACATTGGGCTCTTTTTTCTTTTCCTTTTCTCGTACACTCTTTCTATGAGTGCAAGCCAAGTGTTGATCTTCCCTTTCCTTCTCAATCAGAAAGGACAATCCAAAAACAGGGGAAAACAACTCTAAATATATCTTTTATCTCCAACAAAAAAGCTACAACCATTGAACCACGAGTTCTTTTCTACTGCTTGATGGTCATCTATTGGGAATTAACTTTATGAATTAATCGCCATTGCGGCTAATACTATTACTTCGAATATCGATAGAATTCAATTCTTTCATTTGGACATACCTGGGGGGATTTGCGCTGTTTGCTCTGAATCTCAAACGCATGGAATCGAAAACAATTTCAAGCCGTGATGTGCGTAAAGAGTTATGTAATACGTACAAATTTGGAAAACTTTCGACCTTTGCTTCAGGCCATGAGTTATCTCCTAAGCCTGTCTCCATATTGACCGGATGTTTAATGCATTGTTATCCAAAACTTTCCGCCTTTTTCAAAACACCCTAAAAAGGGAATAATGTCCAAATTTATGTTCAACTGCGAAACGTTGAATGGAGAACTCATTTACTCAGCTGGGCCAATTTTCACCAATCATCAAGATAGGAGAATCCTTCCTCCATCAAACACTATTTCGTTAGCATTAATTTCTCCATTGAAGATAAGAGCCCTCATTTATGGCATCCAAATTCTCAGTTTCTTGAAAATTACTACTTTTGTGGCTAGAGACAAGAAAAACAAAGAGAAACCCAATTGAATTCAAAGAAAATTGAGCTATAAGTTAGGTCTTAGGACTGATAAAGCTAGTCCATTCTCTTGCCAAAAAAAGAGGCTAATCTTTGTTTTTGCTTATTTGCCGAAAACCTTCAAGGTTTATCCCCTGCAACGAATTATTGGACCACCTTGACACAACTATTAACCAAAATTCGAAGGGAACTTTTATCCAATTTAACATCCAACAAACAAAAAGTCACATCAAGGGATGCAAGAGCCCTAACGTGTTGGTTTGCAATTGGGTTCTCTGCGGAACTCTGGGTCTGCCTTTGTATCTGAACTGGTCATGTGGAAAACACCGAAACCTTCCAAGCTCACCTTTAATTCTTTCCCGGACGATAGTTAGCTATCAAGGCACAGCTTCACGATTCGCAAGCTAATTTGAGAATTACAGGTAAGTGGATAAGATCCAGACTAAGTTCACTTCGGTTTGTTGTTGTTTTTTTGACCGGCCTTTAGTGTAAGTTCCAAGTCCAAGTGTCATTATTTTATTCCCTGTACGACGGACCGTCCAAAACATATTTAATGATTATGATTCCAGAAGAATGCTCCTGTCTTTTCTGTCAATTCCTCAAACAAATATCTGTCTTGTGTTACACCTTTTTTCTGTCTCTCCTGTATTTTTCACTAATCCAAAAGGTCTTTAATTGCATTAAAGATTATAACAAAATCGCTGTTGACATCAAAAGACACGCAGATAAGTAATTCATAATGTTAAATATAAATTAATATATTTTATTATACCTGATTTTTAAAAATATAATTTAATCAAATCAGACTTTTATGATTTTATATTTTCGTGCTATAATAACTTGTTACCATAAACTTTACTACAATATTTTTTTTCTGTAATAATATTATAATTTGTAATTAATTTTATTAAATTTTTTATAATATAAGCCGCTGACAATTTAGAATTACGGAACTCATAAGTTCATACCGGACCAGTCCAAAAAGCTCGATTTATCCAATCAGTTATTATTGGACTATTGGGTCAGACATGTTGAAGACATGAGCAGACGTGAGGCTCAAGTAATACGTCCAAACTTCTTCTTGTCGTTAATTATTTAAAAAAAGTATTATTTTATATATTGGTGAAATTTTTTAATTTTATAAATGAAATTATTATATTAATTTGTTAAATTTTTAATTACATTTTAATGAATTATATATTTATTTTTAAAAATTTTAATTGTTATAATTTTTTAAGACTAAATTACGAAAAGGGAAAAAAAATTGGGACGAGGACAGCGAATTACAGTACACATGTGTCAAGAAATTAAACCTTTTTTGTTTTTCCTTCAAAAAGGTTTTAAACAATAAATTGAAAAATCACGAGATAGAAATGCTGACTACCCTTGTTCACATGACGCGTGGCGATGGTACATTGTGGTGGAAGGGCATGTGAAGAATCTTTGTTTTGGAAGGGGTACGTGGCGATTTCTAAGGCAGCCGGAGAGTGGGGACCTTTCTATTCAAAATATTCGATTTTCGTGTCTCCGCCCTCACCAGGCGGTTGAGAATGGGCGGGCAACAAGTGCCAAGGAGCAGAAAGGAAACCGATGAGAAGGGGGAAATGTGGAGGCTAATCGCAGTGAGCGCTCCATGCAACCGCACATTTGGCCTCGCGGGCTCGACTGCGATGGACGATTCTACCCTCCATCCAGAAACAAAATATCTCAAACGCCCTCTTTCCGAAGTCGCCCTCCACCTTCTTCACGCGGCCCATCAAGATTCTCTTAATTTCCACGACGATTCAATACAATATCTTACAAGCATATGTAAATCACATTCTCTCATGTGATTATTCGTCGCAAGCGTGTTAAAATCCTTTAAGAATATCTTAAAAATGAAATCAAGATACTAGTATTATAATATCTACTTTTACTGAAAAAAAAAATGCAGAAAGGGATGAACTTAATTAACTAATTTTATAAGACACGAGGGGCGTTTATGTCCAAAAAAAATCATTAATTGAAGGCCACTTTGTCCACGTGAACAGATTCCATCGATCCAGACTCTTCTTCCTCTTTTGATTCTTAGATCGCTCCCGTTATAGATAATTACACTCCTGACTCCGTTCCATTTGTGGCAAACCAGATCTCACGTTCAGAAAGAAATAGTTTCTTGTTCCAAAAAGCACACATCAATCTTTCGTAACACATAATACTTCAAAAAAATATGTTCACGTAATTCAGTTTCTCGTCAGAATTCAGCTGCAAAACACATTTGGACATTCATTTTTGAATCCATTTCTTTTTAGTGATCAAGCTTTCGGGTTTCCGCTTTCTCTCACGTTATCGTTTTCAGTTTCCGATGCGATCATTGTACACTTTCTCGCTCGCATTGTCGTCTCCTCCTTTAGGTTGCGGCGGCATCCATTGATGGTGAACGAAGGTACACATTAGTTTGAATAATTCTTACTTCTCCTCCTGCTTTTGCTTATAGACATTGTTGATTCTTGCCAGAGATGCTTTGACCTTTAAATTTAACTTGTGGTGTATGCTTTTTCATTCGCATGCATGATGAAAAATATTAATTAAAAGATTTTTTTTAATTAGTACATATAAAATAGAGTGAAATGGTTGTTTGTGGGAGGTTGAGAGCAAAAGAAATAGAATGAGAGGAGCAAGAGACGCATGTTAAGAGGTAACATAAAATTTAAACAGTTGATATGCACGTGTTTTTTTTGGGTAACACATGGAATTTCTATATATGATTTTTATTTAAACGCATTTATATCTAATTAATAAAAAGTATTAAACAATTTATGACTAAAGTTGGAATATTAATTTCAAACTTAATGTTTAATAATTACGTCGTTATTTTCACTCGTCATGCATTGATGAGATTGATGATCAAAGTGCTTGTGTTAATGCTAATTAATCATTAATCTGGAGCACTAATTTATGCCTATTGCTATAGTTATTAGCCTATTTAAGCAAAGACACAGCAAAACAAAGCACGTGGGCACGCAACTGCCCTACATCTAAAAGGAAATTACTACATTTAAATTCCTTTATTTTTTTCCCCCAATTACTGTAAAAGAAAAGCAAGAAGATTTAAATGAATTTGGTAATTAGGCGGAGGAAAGAAAAGGGTGTGAATCACGTTGGTACGTACTTGGTATTTTGCTGATTCCACCTGGAGCACATGTTACCACTCGGGGCCTAACCCCAACCATTTGACAAAGCCTTTTTAGGGGGATTTTAATTTTTATTTCCATAGTTTTTTTTATTAATTTCATGGTATGCGTTGAATAAATAATTAATATGCATAATGAATAATATACTAGGAGCATAGGTATTTCCGGTTTAATTTAGAGTTTCGCGGTACTCTGGAACTATGAACTATCTATTTCAAAGAGGTGGGCTCCAATCTAGGGTAATTGCGAGGATTCCGAGGGTGAGCTTACCGCTGGTTTTCAGACTTCAAAAGAAAAACAAAAAGTAGGCTTTCAAACGTGTATTTTAATTACTTTTTTACACAGTCTATTTACAAGAACAAATTTCACCAATTAATTAGTTTTAGAGCCTATTGGTTTTGGAAAGATTTCTATATTAGGCGGAGAAAACAATTGGATGCTCTAACTATTCAGATGGTTGTTTTATGCAATTCTTACCAAATGCAAATTAGAAAGATTTTTTTTGTTATTATTTAATATTGACATAAAATTATATAAATAAATTAAATATTTTTTTATTAGATTCAATTAAATTTTTATATTTTATTTTTGAACTACATAAAAATATATAGTAATATAATATACTGATATGAAATAATAATATAATATTTTCACTTTTTACAATAACATTATATTAACATAAAATAATAAGTAACATTTTGAAAAATAACGAATAATCAACTGTTAATTATAAAAACATATTTAATTCAAAATAAAAGTATATAATTTGATTAAATATAATATAATAATAAAAATTTATTTAAAATTTTAAAAAATATTATATCTTTAATATTTTATTAAATGTGTCGATAGTAATTTTATTCTTCTCAATTTAAGTTATAATTTTCCCATTGAATTTACTTTAGCATATTATTGGATTTTTTTTCCAATTAACATAGAAACTCATAAAATCAAAATAAACATAGATTGGTCTCTCGATGTTAACAGGTTAAATCAATGTCATGTTTTTCTTTTTTAAACAATGATGTGAAACATGTATGCTTCTTTTATATGAGAAAGGGAAATAGAATAAGAAAATGGGAAATTTATATGGTGAGACATGCTTGTTTGAACTTTAAAAGATTCGAATTGGTGGAGAATCAATTGAATATTTGCACAAGTACATCATATTAGAAAAGCACTGAGACTCTGCAATACACAGGAGTTTTAGATGCTTTTGGATTCTTACAATATTCTGGGAAACATTCATATATTTTCATTAAAATAAAGTAGATTGCGAGGATATCGGTATTTTGTTATCGTGTGGGGCTTAACAACCGGCCTTTCGTTGAATTGTAGCAAAGTAGTGAGGGGGCGACGGGGATTTTCAAGTATGGAGGATGCTTAATTTGAAACATTAGAAGTATGACAGCTGCTATAGAGGTCAACAACATAGCATCTTTTCTTTCTAGGTACGAGACAAAAACTTTTGTTCTCTCTTCTTTAGGACTCATTCTTCCTATCTTGTCTCTTTTGAGTTTTAACCAAATTACTTACCTTATTTTCTACATATTCTCTCTTTTATTTTTGGTTCACAACTGCGTTTTTCTACCTTGGAATGTTCATATATTCCATGCACGACTAGCACATATCATTCTTTATTTAGATGGCAGATGACTATGGGTGCAGTGGGGTGTTGTTTTTGTTTTACTTTTTTCTATTTACAACCGATATAGGAGTACCTCAGAGTTCAACATTGCTTACTTTTTTGCTAAACTTGATTACTTGAATATTTGCAGTTAATATAGAAGAAGATACTGTGATACCCAACATCCTACATCTGATGTGATTGTGATTGTTAAAACTTATATAACAATCCAAATGTACTACTACTAGCAACTTGAACTTAAACTTTTGAGAGCCACATGGTTTAGGCTCAAAGAGTTGCTGAGCCAGTGGTTGAACTTGCGTCATTACAAATGGTATCAGAGCCTACACTAGTCCGATGTGAGCTTTTATATTACTTTGGTGAGATCTTAAACTTGTAAGGACATCAAGGATTTGAATGGGCATTAAGGATTTGAATGGGTTAGACTTGTAAGGACATCAAGAATTTGAATGGGTAGGATTTGAATGGGTTAGACTTGTAAGGACATCAAGGATTTGAATGGGTAGGATTTAAGTGGATGGGATTGTGGGTAGTCCGATGTGAGCTTTTACATTACTCTGGTGAGATCTTAGACTTGTAAGGACATCAAGGATTTAAGTGGGTAGGATTTGAGTGGATGGGATTGTGGGTAGGATTTGAGTGGATGGGATTGTGATACCCAACTCTGGTGAGATCTTGGACGATTTGAGTGGATGGGATGATTTGAGTGGATGGGATTGTGATACCCAACTCTGGTGAGATCTTGGACCTGTAAGGACATCAAGGATTTGAGTTACATTACTCTGGTAAGATCTTAGACTTGTAAGGACATCAAGGATTTGAGTGGGTAGGATTTGAGTAGATGGGATTGTGGGTAGGATTTGAGTGGATGGGATTGTGATACCCAACTCTGGTGAGATCTTGGACCTGTAAGGACATTAAGAATTTGAGTGGGTAGGATTTAAGTGGGTAGGATTTGAGTGGATAGGATTGTGGGTAGGATTTGAGTGAATGGGATTGTGATACCCAACTCTGGTGAGATCTTGGACCTGTAAGGACATCAAGGATTTGAGTGGGTAAGATTTGACCTGTAAGGACATCAAGGACTCTAGTGAGATCTTGGACCTGTAAGGACATCAAGGATTTGAGTGGGTGGGATTGTGATACCCAACTCTGGTGAGATCTTGGACCTATAAGGACATCAAGGATTTGAGTGGGTAGGATTTGAGTGGGTGGGATTGTGATACCCAACTCTGGTGAGATCTTGGACCTATAAGGACATCAAGGATTTGAGTGGGTAGGATTTGAGTGGGTGGGATTGTGATACCCAACTCTGGTGAGATCTTGGACCTATAAGGACATCAAGGATTTGAGTGGGTAGGATTTGAGTGGGTGGGATTGTGATACCCAACTCTGGTGAGATCTTGGACCTATAAAGACATCAAGGATTTAAGTGGGTGGGATTGTTATTCCCAACATCCCACATCTGATGTGAATGTGATTGTTAAAGACCTACATAACAATCCTACATAACAATCCAAATTTGAGGATTACGGACATCAGGAATTTAAGTGGTTGGGATTGTGATACCCAACATCCCACATCTGATGTAATTGTTAAGGCTTGCATAACAATCCAAGTCTACTACTATTAGCTCCAGATTGGAATACCCAACATCTCACATCTGATGTAAATGTGATTGTTAAGATCTACATAACAATTCAAGTCTATTACTATTAGCAATTTAAGCTTAAGCATTTGAAGGTCACGTGATTTAGGTCCAAAGAGTTACTGGACTAATGGTTGAACTTGGATCGTTACATGGTTTAGGCTCAAAGAGTTACCGAGTCAATAGTTGAACTTGAGTCGTTACAAATATAGAATGAGTCAGAGCTATTTGAATTTGAATTGAAATTTTATCAAAACAAACCGTGCACGAGATCATCCAAAAATATAGGGTAGATTGAAGTAAATGATGGTTTTTGGTCCTATTGGAGTAGTTGAAGTATGTTAGATTCAAACTAACGAGGACACCATTGATTTCATCGATACTAGTGTCTTGTGGCATGTGGTGTCCACAAAAAACCATATTCAAGTATTGGGTCAAAGTTAAAAGTGCAAAATGTGTTTAATCGACCAACATTTGCCATGTAATGAAACTAGAAGACAAAAGCATTGTCTGGTCTAAGGTCTAAGGTCTAAGGTCTAAGGTCTAAGGTCTAAGGTCTAAGGTCTATGGTCTAAGGATAATGGGAACACAATCTAGTATATAACAAGGCATATGGCCAATGACCCAAAGACACCTCGACCATACTTTTTCGTAAAGTCCAACACCAATTCAGTTTGGTAATTTGGCTACTACAGAACAACAGTGATGCATCTTCGAACCTTGTTGCTACCAACGGCTGGTTTCATAGATCTTCACACTGGGTCCTTGTAATGTTCGCTACCATACTCTTATTTCTTTCCAAGAATTAATGCCACCAACGCCCCTGGCTTTCAGCTCACACTCTTCTCATGGCATAGGTTTCTTCTCTAACGGAGGTTGGTTATTTTTTCAGGCCAGACAGCCTAAGGTGACAGTTTACCGCCATTAATTGTGCATCAACAATCTGATACAAAGCTATGGCATGCACATCGATGGCTACCCCTACCTCTCAGGCTGCCTCAGCTGCGAAAGATGGATGCAAAGAAGAGATCAATGGCCTTCGCCGATCACACTCTGGCATAAATCTTCATAAGAGAGTAGGCATTCAAAGGTCTTTTTCGGATAATCACCTTTGTTACTCTATCAATCGAATACGTGTTGCATCAACAAAACCAGCCTTGAAGAATAGCCGTTCTGTTGGGATTTTCCCGACGCTCCCATTCCAAATATCCAGTTCCATAATTCCAAACACCTTAAGATCATTTTTGTTTGACTTGGAGACGAGTAAGGATTTGAGTCTGGCGGACAAGGATGTGAATATTGATAAGAACTCCATGGAAAACAATGAAGAAGAGAATAAAATCAATAGAGCGAATTGGGTGAATAGGTTGCTGGAGATTCGACGTCGCTGGAATTATAAACAACTGGAAGAGGGTGTCGATGGAGTTGGGATTTATGATGACAATGAAAGTGGCGATGGTGATGGTGATGGAGACGAAGGTGGCTGTGAGGTGAACTATGACTCGGAAGAAGAAGGAGGTGGAGGAGGTGAAGTGAAATATGACCGTGAATCTTTCTCGAAATTATTAGTTCGGGTACCATGGTCCGATGCCAAGCTCTTTTCTCAGCTGGCCTTCTTGTGCAACATGGCTTATGTGATACCAGAGATTAGGGTATGCATCTTTCATATTTCTGTTTCACATGACATGTTTCTCCCAATTGGTCAAGTTTTGATGTTTAGAGTTTAGAACTATTCTCTGATTTCTGTCACTACCCAGCATTATATGTCTGGTCTAGCAATTATATGTCTAACATTAAGTGTTTGGAGTAGTCGTACATTACTTACTAAAATTTAAAGCTTTATAGTACATCCTAAACATCAGTAATAGTAAAGTTTCAAACCAAACCAATCGATTATTCTTGCACAAAGAGTAACTTCATTCTAGGAATATATATGCAGGAAAAGGATTTAAGAAAATATTATGGCCTACAGTTTGTAACATCGTCCCTAGAAAAGAAAGCAGAAGTGGCTACAATCAAAGCAAAATTAGATCAGGACTCTACTCGCGTACCTGTTGCTGCATCAGAAAATACCGAATCCAAGTCAGAAAAAGGGAGGACTCTACTCCCTTTATCTGTTGTTTATGAAATTGCTGCTTCAGCTGCATGCTATGTTCAGTCACGGGCAAAAGGCCTTTTGTCCCCTGGCTCTAAGTCACAGGAGGATGCTGGTTGCATGGATTCATGTAGGTCTGGAAACCAGCCAGAAATGGAGGGGGAGAACTTGCCCCGAGTATATAACTCAGAGGTGGCTGCTTATGTGGCAGCATCAACAATGACCGCTGTCGTTAGAGCCGGGGAGAAGGAAAAACAAGAGACAGCTAAGGACCTTCAGTCACTAGACTCATCGCCTTGTGAATGGTTTGTTTGTGATGACTTAAGCACATATACCCGCTCTTTTGTAATTCAGGTAGAAGTTGAATACTTGTCATTCATTTCATTTTCCGTTGATAGGCCAACATTTACATTTACCAAGCAACAATTTATCCGATGTAGCGGCTAGTGCACAAATCATCATATATCCTATGCTATTATCATTCAATCCAGAACATTTTGTTCTAAAAGTCTCACGAGGAAAGATCAAATTATTGAATCTTCAAATCTCCTAGATTATTTGTTTATATTTGCATCTGTGATCTAATTGAACTTGAGTTGCAGGGATCAGACTCTCGAGCGTCGTGGCAGGCAAACCTTTTCTTTGAGCCCACTAATTTTGAGGTGAGCTTAATTGCTTATGTAACAAGTCTAAGAACTCTGAATGAAAATCCTTAACCTTAATGGGAGACTTAGAAGAGTTACTGTAAATCTAATATCTATTACTGTAAATCTCATATCTATTATTCTCTAGTAGGGAACCGATGTGCTTGTTCATAGGGGAATTTATGAAGCTGCAAAGGGCATATACGAACAATTCATGCCAGAAATTATGGACCATCTGAAAAGGCATGGAGATCGCGCAAAGCTTCAATTTACTGGTCATTCCCTCGGGGGTAGTCTTTCTCTTTTAGTTAACTTGATGCTGCTAACTAGGAAGGTTGTAAAGCCTTCTGCTCTTCGACCAGTTGTCACTTTTGGCTCACCGTTTGTGTTCTGTGGAGGCCAAAAGATACTAGATGAACTGGGGCTAGATGAGAACCATGTTCATTGTGTGATGATGCACCGAGACATTGTCCCTAGAGCCTTCTCCTGCAAATATCCGAACCATGTGGCTGTTGTCCTCAAACGTTTGCCTGGTTCCCTCCGATCTCACCCGTGTCTGCTTAAAAATGTAAGCACTTCCTTAAACGCTTCTTATCACAATAGTAATCATGCGTAGTTGCAGCAAGTAGGAGATGTAGACTTTCCTTTGAATCGTACGCAGAAATGTACTTGAAGTTAAGATTTTGATTGGAAAAATAGCTTTTACGAATATGATCTTTCCACTGCTAGGCTAACTCATTCATTTTTTTGTTAATGCAGAAACTTTTGTATACACCACTGGGCAAAGTATTCATTCTCCAACCTAATGAGAAGTTGTCACCTCCGCACCCACTAATCCCTCCAGGGAGTGCTCTTTATGCTCTGGACAATACACATTGTGAATACTCCACAAAGGCCCTTAGGGCCTTCCTTAATTGCCCCCATCCATTGGACACTCTCAGCGATCTTACAGCCTATGGCTCAGAAGGTACTATTTTAAGAGATCATGACTCCAGCAACTACTTGAAGGCAGTTAATGGGGTCTTAAGGCAAGACAAAAAGGTGGATGTCCGCCGGGAGAGGATACAGAGAAGCTTATTGTGGCCATTGCTTGTTTCGCCATCTCCCCACTCTTGGAGCCATGATAGAACTTTGGAGAGCAGCATGTTATCAAATAAGGAGATAATGACCAGTGTGTGAACTCTAAAGACTTCTCCATGGTTGCCCCACAGATATACAAAAGATGTTAACAACACATAGCAGAGTCTAAGCTTTTTTCTTTTTCATTTTTTTCCCTTTTTACCATAATGTAATGGCAAATACAAAGTCCAAGGTCAAAATCCAGCATCTCCAAGCCTCCCTCCCCTGATTTTCATGATATTGAAAGAAAAAAAGAAAAGAAAAACCCCTGTAAATTCACTGAAATTATAGTCTTTTTGCTCTGTCTCCATGTTATTCATCATTGACTAACACCGTTTTAAGTGTTAATAAAATGTCAATGTTCTCTTGTCTTCACTCGACTCTTTGTATTTCTTTTTACTCCCAACACAGTGCAAAAGAGTGCATCAATGCATCACTAATAAGAGGAAACCTAAACTAGGCGTAAAAGAGGAAAACTACACCCAAAAGCCAAAGGAAATAAAAAGAAACAAGCTTATATACAAACTTACTACTAGAATTACAATTCCTTTTCTTTCTTTTCCCCGTCTTCTTGTTGCAATAACATGCCAATGCACCAAAGATTTTTCTGTTTGAAGTAAGAAAAAAGTGTTAATGACAAGTTAACAAAGTGTATAATCTAGATTAGGCTTTTTGTTATCTTAATTAAGAGTTTAATCATGGGAGTTGGTTTACATAAAGAGGGAAATACTGAAAAAGATGCAAGACTAACTGACCCATTTCTTTGAGTTAGCAGGCATTACCAGCCCAATTCTATTAGGCCTACAAACCAGAGGGCCTAAGTGTTTGTCGACAGGCCAGACTAATTAAAGAAAAGTGCAGAAAATTTCTTTTAAATAATTTTTTCTATTTTCAATTGGCCTTTTTCTTTTCTCTCTTCTGTTTCTTTTCTCTCTCTGCCAGAGATTCTATCATCCTCTTCCTCTCAATTAAATTTCAATTTTTTTTAAAAAAAAACCCTCAAATGCACAAACTTCCTCAACGTCAAACAATTGCTATATCTCTATCACGCCTCCACAATCCCTTATTCTTGTAACCAAACGGCCCCACTTCTTTTCCCCCATCTGTTTCCTTTCTCTGTCTTTCACCACCAGAAACCTAAATAAGCATTCTTTTGATCCTCTTCAACCCTTCCTGTTTTCACCATATTTAAATTTCTCCCCAATCTTTCTCTTTGCATTTTGCTATTTGGTCCTTCTTGGCCTTCCTTTTTTGATTCGCCGACACTTCCCAATTTCCAGGATTGGTGCAGTTTCTGTTTAGGGTTTTTGATAATCTCACCGCCCATTGTTTCCCATTTTGCTGACCCCCTAGGGTTTCCTTATTTCTTTTTCCTTTTTCCAGTTTCATATTTTTTATTTCTAGGGCATTTTATATTGAAGTTTTGTAGATTTTCTTGATCGAATAGAAAAGAAAAGAAAAAACTTACATCCTTTTATCATTTTACCTTGGAAGTTTATTGGCATATCCCCTTCGTTTTGGCAGTATTTACTATTCTTACCATTTTATTACTTCTAAAACGTTAACATAATCTAGGGTTGTTACTTGATTAAATGAAAAAAAAATACTAAAATTAATATCAAAGTTTCTTCCTTTTTTTTTCCCCTTACCGTGGATTTACTAGGAAAACCGTACATATTGAAAAACAATCCATCTTTTTTCTTGGATTAGTTTTTTTTTTTAATTTTTGAAATTTATTTTCTTTGTTTTTGGTTGCCTTGTGGCGGTTGGGAGAGTTGAGAAAGTTGTTAGGGGGGAAAAGTGGTTTAGGATTGTATGGAAGAGCATGAAGGGTGGGCGGCGCAGCAGCCACCGAGCGGGCTATTGCCGAACGGTTTGTTACCGAACGAAACTGCCTCGGTGATTCAGATACTTGATTCGGAGCGATGGATGAAGGCTGAGGAAAGAACCGCTGAGCTGATTGCTCGCATTCAGCCCAATGCACCCTCGGAAGGTCGCCGTAATGCCGTAGCTGATTATGTCCAGCGCCTCATCTCTAAATGCTTCCCTTGTCAGGTCCAATTGAGTGCCCTTTGGTTATAATTTCTTTCTAAATGGGTACCATTGTATGAAATGGAAATGATTGAATAGATGTGTTTGATTAAATATGTTAAGGATGGAGAAGTGGCACTCATAGAAAGGATTAAAAAGTTCGAATCTTTACATTTCATGTTCAGGTCATACAGTGGAGGGATGAATGCTACTTATATCAAGTTTTTACCTCTTTTTGTATTGAGTTCATTAATCAATTTTAATATCAGTTGCTTGCTTGTGATAATTTTTGTTGGACAGGTGTTTACTTTCGGGTCTGTGCCCCTCAAGACATATTTGCCTGATGGGGATATTGACTTAACGGCCTTCAGTAAGAATCAAAATTTGAAGGATACATGGGCTCATCAGGTTCGCGATATGCTGGAAAATGAAGAGAAAAATGAGAATGCTGAATTCCGAGTAAAAGAAGTTCAGTACATTCAGGCTGAGGTAAAGTCATAATGAGACGCCCATTTCTTTACTATTCTTAGGCACCTGGCATTATGTCTTTTCTTCTTAGGATCTCTTATTTACCATTCTATCAATGTTTCAGTATCTTTTCCCGCTCCAGATTTCTTTGATTAAAGTTTGCACATTTGTGACACTTGGTAATATGCTGATTCATTTGTTTGTGGGGACTCCTTATGTTCAGTGTTATTCTTCCTACTTAATGTCTCTGAACTGTCTTGCGTAAAATTAGTTGTAGAATTCTTCCACACATTTGCTCAATGTTGTAATCTTAATACATGAATTCATTTTGATATATTTTTTTCCCTCATATGTTTTCAGGTTAAGATAATAAAGTGTCTTGTAGAAAATATTGTGGTAGACATTTCATTTAATCAGCTTGGTGGATTATGTACTCTTTGTTTCCTTGAAGAGGTTAGTGCTGCAAAACCTGCCACTGCATGTCTGCTTTTGTTTTTGTAGCGGTAGATCTTTTTGGAATTTGTGTAAGTTTAAACCTAACTTAATGTCCATGTGTGTAGGTTGATCTTTTGATAAACCAGAATCATTTGTTCAAACGTAGCATCATATTGATAAAGGCATGGTGTTATTATGAGAGCCGTATATTGGGTGCTCATCATGGACTTATCTCAACTTACGCCCTGGAAACCTTGGTTCTTTACATATTCCATGTTTTCAATAAGTCCTTTTCTGGACCACTTGAGGTGGTTATGTTTACCTTTCTATTTTTTATGCTTTTTGCATTTGAATCTGTTCATCTGTCTGATTTTTTTTTTCCTTTTTATGTGTAGGTCCTGTATTATTTTCTTGAATTTTTTAGCAAGTTTGATTGGGAAAATTTTTGTGTTAGCCTCTGGGGTCCTGTTCCAATTAGTTCGCTGCCAGACATAACAGGTACCACAATTTCTGGAATAGCTACTGCTAAGCTTTGAACAAGAAGCTTCAACTTACAGAATGTATGCCAGTTTTCTAGTCATAATGACATTGTTTAAAATACATTTTTGCAGCGGAACCTCCTCGAAAAGATGGTGGAGAGTTGTTACTTGGAAAATATTTTCTTGATACTTGTAGTTCAAGATATGCTGTTTGCCAAGAAAATCAGGGCCAACCCTTTGTTTCTAAACATTTCAATGTGATCGATCCTTTGCGTATAAATAACAACCTTGGACGTAGTGTTAGTAAAGGTAGTTACATTTATAACTTTTTAGTGGTGAAGTTTCTCTCCATTTTTTGTGAGCTTTTTTAAATTGTTTGGCAATTCCTTGTTCTTGCATCCAGTACTATGGCCACATGCTGTTGTTGTTTATAAGTCTCTATCCTTGACATAACTATTTGATATATTAAATTGTCCTTTTGAAGAGATATGCTGCAATGAACTTTGAAGAGAGTCGCATGATTAAGAAATTTTGAAAATATTGAACTTTAATTGGTAGAAGCAAGATGAAGAGACTGTTAAATGGAGGGTAGAAAGGTGATAGCGAACAATCGGAGTTGTAGATTTGTTTACTTCTGCACAATTTTGGCACTTATTGGAAACTTATATGACTAAGCATGTCGGAATCAGATTTGGATACTATTTTAATTTCTACTTGTACAACTATGTAACCTTTGTGTTTCACAGTTTTACTGCTTTTGGAACAATCGAGTGTCAATTTTTTGGTTGGCTGTATATACTGCTAATAATAGGTTTTCTTGGCTGTATGCACTTATAAATTTCTACATGTACAACTATGTAAATCTTTTCAAAAGTTTTACTGCATTTGGAGTAGTTGAGTTCTCAATTTTCTGGTTGGCTCTATGCGTTGTTAATAATAGGTTTTCTTGTGCATAAATAATATACTTTTCTCCAGGTAATTTCTTTAGGATTCGCAGTGCATTTGCATTTGGGGCTAAAAAGTTGGCAAGACTACTTGATCCCAAAGAGGACCTATATGAAGAAGTAAATCAATTCTTTATGAATACATGGGAAAGGCATGGTAGTGGTGAACGCCCTGATGCGCCAAGGAATGATCTGTGGCGCTTGAGATTGTCAAATTCCGACCACACTCATGGATCTAAGAATGTCAGGAACAATTCAAGCAGCAAAGGAAATGATATGTCCTCAGGGCATGAAACTCAAGCTGAAGGAGCACAAGGATTGTGTGGTGTTTCCTCACAGCATGTTAATTATCCATCAGAAAGCACAAGCAAGATGAGTGATGTATCAACTGCTTCTCGTGCTCAAAGCCAAAAGAGTTATGGTAGCATGACCAACTCAAATACATCTGATCAGGTTAGACGGGATTCTAATTCCAATCAGAATGTGCATAATGATACAGGGCAGAGAAATTCTAAAGCAGAGAATTTTGTAACTGATGTTCAAGGAAGATGTCTTTTTGCAAGGACACGTTCTAGTCCTGAGCTTACTGAAACATATGGGGAAGTTACATCTCGAGGAAGGCGGAACAGAGTGCCAGAGAGTAGGAAAACCCACATTGCTTCTATGAGGTCAGAAAATAACGGGAGGAAAAATATGGAATCTGATATGACAGAAAGCAATAACATTAAGTCTTCATGTGATGATCCTTCATCTATTAGGCACACTTCAACCCATCAAAGCATTGATGCTACTGCTGATCCAAATAGTCTATTAAATAGTTACCAAGATGATTTAGGCTTGGGAGCTATGGGTCAGGACTTTTCCTCGATTCCAGGTGCACAAGGAATGCATCAAGAAGAGCAAGATCTAGTGAACATGATGGCATCTTCTACAGCTCATGGCTTTAACGGTCAGGTTCCTATTCCTCTAAATTTAGCTGCAGGTCCCTTACCTTTTCCTATCCAGTCCTCTGGTCTTGCTGCAATGGGTAACAATCAGAGAAATTTGGGTGGAATTGTTCCTACAAATATACAAATGTTTCCCCAAGGCTTGGTCTCTTCTCCTTTGGCCCATTATTTTTCTGGCATTGGATTAGCCTCAAATCCTGAGGATTCAATTGAGCCTGGCACTGAAAATTTTGGTTCTTCAGAAATTAATCCAGGGGAAACAGAACACGAGTTATGGCACGAACAAGACAGGGGCTCTAGTGGTGGTTTTGATCTTGATAATGGAAATTTTGAAGTGCTTCAGTCAGATGATAAGCAACTGTCAACTTCAGGTGGCTATAATTTTGTTCCTTCATCTAGGGTAGGCAGCTCTGGTAGTTCTACTAAAGTCCAACAGAAGTTTACTAAAGAAACTCGAGGGTTAAATAGGGAAGATCATGTTGATGTTTGCCAATATCAAGATAACAGAGGTAATGATGTTTACTTTGATGAAAGAAACGGAAGTTCTAGATCCATGCCTGCTTCACATACTAGTTCACTCAGAAGTAAAACGTCATCAGAAAATTCTTGGGAAGGGTCATCAGCAAAGGTCTCTAAGCCAGCTAGGGAGAAACGGGGTAGGAAAACTGCTGCTTCTGCGCTTCCCTCTGCTGCATGTGGGAAAGGTAAGAGTGTATCTGAGCATTCCTCTCAGGCAGGCGATGATGGCAGAGACTGGAATCTACCATCAACGGTGGGCACTGAAATGGCAGAAAGAACTACTGGACCTCAACCAGTTAGTTCTTTGCCTGTTCCGAGGCATCAAATGCCTGGATTTGAGGCAGCTCAGACTAGTGGCTCAGATTCACTGATACCCATGGCTCCAATCCTTTTAGGTCCAGGTTCAGGGCAAAGAGCTATGGATAATTCTGGAGTTCCTCCCTTGGCCTTTACAATAACAGGTCCACCAATTCCATTTTTCTTGTGTCCTGTGTACAACATTCCAGCAGAAACAGGAACTCCAGATGCATCAACAAGCCATTTTAGTTGGGATGAAGGTTTGGATAACAATGATTCTGGTCAAAATTTTGATTCATCTGAGGGACTTGATCAGTCTGACATGTTAAGTACTGCTAGTTCTCCAAGAAAGGCTGCATCTCTTAAGCCATCTGAGCACAAAGCTGACATTCTTAATGGTGACATTGCTAGCCATTGGAAAAACTTGCAGTATGGACGGATTTGCCAAAATTCACGATATCCTTCACCTCTGATTTGTCCTTCACCTGTTATGGTGCCACCTGTCTATTTACAAGGTCATTTCCCATGGGATGGTCCTGGGAGACCTCTCTCAACCAATGTGAATCTCTTTTCTCAACTTATGAATTATGGGCCCCGTGTTGTTCCTGTTACTCCACTCCAATCTGTTTCAAATAGGCCTGCCAGTGTATACCAACGGTATGCTGATGAAATGCCAAGATATCGTGGTGGTACTGGGACATACCTGCCAAACCCTGTAAGTCACATTGGCAATCTGTAATGAGCCTGTATTACTCTGCCTTTGAACTTTGCGTGCTTTGGGGAGTAATACGGTTAGATGGTTTTGTTTTCCATTCTCCATTAATTGGTTATGCACTGTTATAGTGGACAATCATTTGAAATGCAGTGTTATATTGATCATAAGATTATACGATACTGTGTTAGTCTGTTGCATCAGTTTTTGACAGCGATCTTAATGTTGTTTAGCTCTTCTTTGACATTTAACGTTGAGCACTAAAGCCTTCAATAACTTTTATATATGATTTTTCAACTTCAGAAAGTTCCAATGAGAGAACGCCATTCCACAAATACAAGGAGGGGAAAATATAATTACGATAGAAATGACCATCATGGTGATAGAGAAGGAAACTGGACTGCTAATTCAAAGTCACGAGCTGCTGGGCGCAGCCATAGTCGCAATCAAAATGAAAAATCAAGGTTCACGTTTGATCACTTGGCAGCTGTTGCTGGTGAGAGCAGAGCTGAGAGGCCTTGGAGCTCACATAGACATGATTCATTTACTTCATACCAGTCTCACAATGGACCAGTCCGCTCTAACTCTTCTCAAAGTAGTTCTGCCAGCATGCCATACGGCATGTATCCACTGCCAGCCATGAACGCCAGTGGGGTATCATCTAATGGACCGACCATTCCTTCTGTGGTCATGTTGTATCCTTATGATCATAATTCTGGTTATAGTTCCCCTGCTGAACAGCTCGAGTTTGGCTCTCTTGGACCACTGGGTTTTCCAGGCATGAATGAAGTATCACAGCTAAGTGATGGAAGCAGCTCAGGTGGGGTATTTGACGAGCAAAGGTTTCATGGTTCCTCTGCTCAACGGTCCTCACCAGACCAGCCTTCTTCACCCCACCTTCAAAGGTAATGTCTTCTTGTTCTTCTGAGGTAGTTTCTTTACAAGACTTACTGAAAACAGTCAGCCTGAAAAAGTACCCTGCATCCATACTATTGTCCAACTGCCATTGCTGGTCTAGCAATACTGTTGATGGTGTAGTAATTTCTATGGCCCAACTTGAATGAGCTGTGTGGAAATTGCTGCCTGCTCCCCCACCTTCTCCTACCCTGACATAATCTTCTGCTGCGACCCTCTTCCTGGCTGGTGCTCTCCTCATAATTCTGGTGGGTTGTCTGTCAGTCATAAACCATGACTAGTGGTTACATCATATATGGCAACTAAATTGAATTTAAAATTGGATCATAACCCTCACTTTTTAAATTTATTGCTTTAATATTTCGATTTTATTCCTTCATTTGTTTCAATCGGATTGTTTTATGATGCTCTCATTTCTTTCTCTTAACAGGGGACTTTGATTTTATTGCCAGATCAGTGGCCCATGAGAATTATCAATTGAAAGATGAGGATTTCCCACATCTTGCTTTTCCATTTGAGGGAAGAATTGATGGTGGGAGAACCTATAATGAGAAAACCTCCCATTAACCAGGCTTTTTGTTCTCAACTCACTAATGAAAGGAAGAATTGAATTTTCTGATTTAGTGATTCTTAATGGTTTTCTCAGGAGATGGTCAGAGTGCTTCTTGGCTTGTGCTTGTATGTACACTATGAATGATGAAAATCATTTTCGAAATTGCTCTGTTTTCAAAGATATAACAGAGTAATGGTGAAAGGAATGCAGGACTCGGAGGCAAGAGAATTTAAAGTTAGGGTTCTACACATTGTAACTGAAATAGGAACTCCTTAGGATTAGAACTGAGTTCTATCATTTTATAAATTGCAATGATCAGGATTTCTTTCCCACAATGTAATAGGGCTTTTCATTTTTGATTTATAATTTCAGTGTATTAGGTTGCTTTTGTTAACTTTCTTTGTGAAAGTTACAGTGTATCAATAACGTTGCCATGGTGAAAAATGAGTTGATTAGAATTACCATTTTTCTGAAGAAAGAAACCATATGTCAGATGCATGCATGACATGTTAGTATTGATGTGTTCTTGCCCTAGATGAATCTTGTTGGCCGATGAGCAGGTTCTGGAGTGCTTCAGTTGATCAAGCTTCCATCATAACATGATTTCTTTTGGAAGACCACACGGTGTAAAATGATCGATTAGTGAAATGTGATGCTAGAATTTTCTTTCTTTTTCTTCTTTTAATTTAAATATTTGCTTGTTAAGATATGTTTCTTATCCAGAATGAATGATGCGTGGTAGGTACCTAAAGGCTAAAGGTTTTGTTTGCTCTAACAAACCTGAAGGCCTAAACGCCACGGGAAACCAGAATTCTGTACAATTTACCTTACAATGCCATATAGAGACCAAGTATCTTTGGGATTATCATATTATATGATACCCTTTAAACTGGGTTCTTTTTTTTCCTTTTTTTGGGTAGAAGGTTAATACAGTGTCGACTCTCAAACATTGCCCATTTTTGTTGCCTTTTCTTAATGGAGATCACTGGGTAGCTTGTGCTCCATCGCATTGCTATGAATTCAGCTGTCGTCAGTGGTGCAATGACAGCAGTAATGTTGATTGATCCAGAAAGGAGATTAAAAACAAGGGACTATGTCTTCCTTACCCTTCCCGGGGCCTTTGCCTTCTCACAGTGACCTGGGAGCAAGCTGAAACTTGGTAGAAGTGGGGTAGAACACATTTCTGTCGACTCACAGAAGCAAACTAATGAGACACATTAATCTGAATATATCACTAAGAAAATTTTGAAGACAATGTTATTAATTTTGTATATCTGGTGATCTGCAAAAGGAATTTCCTACAATCATCTTCTATAGGAATATTCAAGGGTGATGTGAACTGACAATTGATGCAAATGAATCACTGGTTAAGCTCCAGATCTATTTGGAACGCAAACCAGGGACATTCCTTAGGCCCATCTTGCTAATGACGAGCTTGGGAATTGCAGGAGGCTTATCGAGACCCATGCTTCTACTGAACTCGTTTGCAAGCTCCACAAGTCTATACTTATCCCTGCCTACGTTCTTAGTGGAATTGTAATAACCAAGCCATGCCTGATATGCAGCTTCCTTGTTTTTCATCTCAACATTGGAAAGTGCCCGTTCCACCTGTTCAATCATATTTTAGCACCATTAAACATTTTCCCGGATGTTCACTTGCCAATGTTTATAAACTTTTCATAGAAAATCATGCAATCTTCATTTTAGTTAATATGCTTCAAGGAAATTGAGGATGGGAATATAAAGCCTTAGGAGAATACAACACGGACCAAAAACGAAGGAAAATTCTACTTAAAGCTTACCTTTTTCTTTGTGTCTGGATCCACCAAAGGCAAAGGAGCCTTTGTTATTGGCAAATCCTTGATGCTAGATACAAAGTATTCCTCCCATGGTGCTAGCAAGAGTATACCTTGCCCTTCTTTACCCTTACGCCCGGTTCTACCTAGCCGATGTATATACTGTTGTCTATCGGCTGGCAAGCCCACCTGTGATGGTAAAAACGACATTGTAAAATAAAACAGCCAATGGCGAAGACAACTATTGTACTCTAGAAGGAATATACATAGAAGAAAGTACAGGAAAAGCTCTAGTTGAAGAATTTGTCTCCTCCTAAAATTGAACAGGACATAGCACATATGAATGGTTTGAAAGGGATTCTTAAAGAAACAATGCACTTGGATACTTGCTGGGATTTCTGACATGGCAAGCAAAATACCTCATTTCACCACAGATTTTGAAACATATCACAAAATTTTCCCACTAAACCACTTACATCACCACAGAAAAATGACACCTTGTTACCTGTATAACAAGTGTAACATCAGGATAATCAACCCCACGAGCAGATACATCAGATGTCACAAGAATAAGACCTTTTGACTTGCGGAATTCATCAGATACCCTGGTTCTATAACTCTGAGGTTTTCTTGAATGTATCTCTCTAACATTCAGGTTCAGCTCACCAAGAAGGTCAGCTACCAGTCTCGTTACCATAGCAGTAGTGCAGAATACAAGAACCTGCAAAAATAGGTCGCTATATTACAAATTTTGTCCAAGGATCAACATAATGATGAGCAAAAGATAAGGTGCATGATAGCATTATGCGACATTTGGAAAAAAACACATTTGATATTAATCTCTGAGATTAGACAATTAAAAAATGAGGCCAACCCTATCTTTATTTTACTGGAGGCTTTGGAGACACCAAAAATAAAATTTCTTTATGCGGAACTTTCTAACTAATAATCTGAAGCAAAGGCCTGTAAAGTAAAATTGCACCTTGTAGTCAACATCATCTGCAATATGTTCTTTAAGAAGAACATACAGCAGGGAAAAATGCTTGTCTAGTGGAGCAACCATGTGCATTTGTCTGACCTGAAAAATCCAAAATTTAAGCAATTGAGACACCAAGAATATTCCATGTTACCCAACAAATAGCAGGGTGCAAAATCTACCTGTGAATGAGTCTCCTCACTGCCTTCTTGAACGGTATTGATGAATTCATGATCTCTTCTCAATGCAATGTGGCAGATTTGACGGACCTTCGCACCAATTAGTAACTTCAGAATATTCTTCAAATTTGTAAAACACCAATAGCCAATACACACATAGGATAAAGAAAGAAACCTCTTCAGGAACTGTAGCAGAAAATAATAGTGTTTGCCGTTGCTTTGGAACAGCAGCAATTATCCTTTCGATGTCTTTACGAAAACCCATGTCTAATAAATGATCTGCTTCATCAAGTACAAGGACCTTCACACCCATCAGCTTTGTTGCAAATCCTGCAGTATTCTCAATATGATCTCTGAGCCTTCCAGGTGTAGCGACAAGAATCTGAGAGTTAAATGGGAGTAATGTGTAACAACATCCTACTACAACATGACATTTATATTAAATGCAGTATTAACTCACAGTGAAGACCGAGAATTTGATTGAGAAGGACCTGATGGTCCCCTAATTAGATAGGTTAAGAAAAATTCTAAACTTTGATCCTTTGATCCAATGTTCCAATTCAGTTCTCTCAATTTCATTCCAATCGAATGATGCTCCAACAGTTTATAATGTAAATAAGGATCAACATTTTTGTCCAAGAGTTGGCCTAGTGAATTAGAAAGCAAGTAGTAATTACAACAAACTCACCTGGCAAGGGTTTGCTTGCATGCGTTTTTGCTCTAAAGCAAGTCTTGTACCTCCAATGACAACTTGAACACCAATAGAAGAATGATACTTCAACAAGGTGTTAGCTTCTGCAGCAGCTTGACTTGCAAGTTCTCGAGTTGGGCATATTACAAGTACATGAATTGGTGGCCGCTTTACATCGCGATCAATAGGAGGCAACTTTGAAACAACTTCAATCGATGGAAGCTGAAAAGAAGGAACATTGCATCAAGCAAAGTGAACAACTCCAACGTATCTACTAATATGGACTATTTGGAGTAAGTTTCAGTAGGTCAGGAATTCCAGCCCCCAATGGATACAAAGATGACTTCAAGTTAAATTAATTATGATGCCCAGAATTGCATTGCTAAAATGGATAGCAAAGTTAAAAACAGGCCATAACAAAAACATAGAATACAACAATTTTGTTTCCTTGTTTTCATACTTCTTTGAAAAAGCAAACAATAATTTAGATCTTACACAAAAAAAAAGGAAAAGAAAAGATAAAAACTTTGATAATTTTGATAATACGAAGGCATGCGGAGGTCAGTAGAAAATAATGGGTCATGCAGCATATAATAATACCTTAGTAAACAGACAAAACGCATGTGAACATACAAAAGTAGCATCTTACCAAAAATGCTACTGTCTTTCCCGTGCCCGTTTTGGCCTTGGCCAGTACATCCTTGCCTAAATTAAGAAAAAAAAAATGTGATAATGAATAAAATCAGAAGAAACCAAAAAGTACACACATACAATGTACAAAATCAGAGGCAATATCATTTCAGAATTTCATGACATCAACTGATTAGCAACCTAAGGGTACAGCTTAAAACAACATTGTAGTCAGGCAAACTACAGAATAAAAAGCTGAAAAGATGTAATCCACACATTAATTTTTGAGGCTACCAGTTAACCATCCAAAGCTAATTGTCTAGAAACTATTTGAACATGGGAATCCTAAAAATGCCCGCACATTTTGCAGCTCCCTCTTGCAGCACATTTAGCTACCCTCATCATTAACAATGACAGTGTTCGAGAGTAACAAACGAGACAGTAAATTCTAAAAGGATCCCATTGTTGAAATTTGGGTTATATATAATGCCCTAAAGGAAATACACCTTTGAGTATAACTGGAAGAGTAGCCTCCTGTACCACGGTCATCTTCTCATAGCCAGCATCCTTAATTCCCTTTAGTGACAAGGAAGATAGTGAAAATTGATCAAATCTGCAAGCATAACAAAAAATCAGACATTTACAAAAAGCCAACGAAATCAAAATCATTTCTCATAATCGTTTATAATACATACCTTGATTCACTCAAATAAGAATCAGATTTCCCTGGTGAACTTCTCGGACTCCCTGTTTGCCTAACATCCTTATCCAATCCAAGTGCGGAACTCGCAGTCTTCCGAAAAACTACATCATCATCATCATCTTCATCATCATTAATATCACTATCTTCCTCGCTAAGAAAATTTGCAGTAGCTCTTATTACCCTCCCTCTTTCTTCTTCAAAGTCATTAGCATCATCATCTTTATCTTTCCGAAAGTTTGATTTTGTTCCCAAATTTCTTCTTCCGTTCCCCATATTTCTTGAATTCAAACCCCTCTCGTTCCCCCTTCCTTTCCATGAATCCACATTTTTATTCTCTCTTTTTGCCCCCCGAGTTTTTCTCCTCGAGTAAGATTCCTCCTCCTCCTCATCGTCATCATTGTCTTCGTCTTCTAATTCACTATCAAACCGTTTACTGAACCGAGAATTCCTCGAAAAAGAATCGCCCGGGTTGCACCGAGTTCCCCTCCTGTTCGACTCACGAAAATTGTCGAACTCACTCTCTCTTCTCCTCTTCACGGAGCCCCTATTTCTCTCTCTATCTCTACTCCTAACTCTATTACGTGCTCTATCCGCATCTAACTCCTCGTCTTCACTAGTGAGTCGACCACGGAACGAGTCGGTTCTCAACTCGCCGACCCAGTCACTGAGTTCTGCCTCGTCCTCGATCAGACTCTTCGAGGTAAGGACATCTCCCCTGTCTTTACGAGTGAACTCGGAGCTTGACCCGGGCTTAGGTCGACACGACCTGGTGGAGAGGCTCCGCACACCGAGATGTCCGTTAAAGCCAGGTGATAAGCCAATGAATTTGAGTTTAAAAGGGAATACCCTATTTAAAACGCGCATGGACCCGTTAGAGCCAATGGAGGCTCCAGGTCTCATAGAGGGGAAACGGGTGACCGGTAGAGACAGGCTGAGAAGACGAACCTGTGGCAGAAACTTGATAGGCATTTGTTTACCCAGAGCTTCCGACAGCCGGTTTGCAGTGCTAGCTTTTCCAAAATGACGGGAAATGGCGAGTTAGGATTTTCAAGGGTTTAACGTCTTGAATAAAACGGCGATAGGGTTTTGGGTTTCTGTCATTCGCTCATTTGAAAACGAAGAAAGGAGGGCATCTAAACGACGCCGTTTAGCAGGAAAAGATCAAAAACATTTCTGTGTGAACCTGGCCCATTGGCCCAAAGTCTGATTTACGTGGGCCGAAGGAAAGAGTTGAACCATAAAGTTTTGAGATAGGTTAAAATGAAAATGGGTTGGGCGGCCCACTATATAACCCACCCATTTGTAATTTTATTTGTGAATATAGTGCAAACCATACCTAATAATCTATGGAAGAAATAATAAAAAGAAAATCAAACATTGAATTGAATCGAAATTTTCCCTTTTTCCAAGCCTTGGGCTACCAAAAGGGAGCAAACAACAGGACAAAATGATAGTCACATCGTTGATCAGAATATTAACTTGGATAAAGCTTTCACCTGTTCACGCTCGAAGCATTATGCTTCGAGTTTGAGCGCTGTGACGCTGCAGACGCTGAAGGCTTTTTTGTCTAATTCAATTCATTCCTTTGAGAGCCACGGTGCTGAAACATTCTGTTTCAGCCTTTTTTTTTCAAGGCCACGACACTTAATTTTTAGAGCCGTGGCGCTTACCCTTTTTTTTTGAATTTTTTAAAACCAATTACCTATAAAAGGAAATATAAAAAAAAATTAAATTAAAAAAAATAAATAAAAAGCATTAAATAAAATAAAGATGAAAATAAGTAAGGTTGAGGAGCTTAGGTTGCCTCCCCATAAGCGCTCGTTTATAGTCATCAATTTAAATAAAACACCCCTTTTTATAGTTTTTCATTTTTAAAATATGATTTAAAGCTCAGCCCATTAACCATGAATGTGCTTGTATCCTCATTATCAATCTCAATTGTTCCACAAAGATAAGTTTTTACTACTTTAAAAAGACCCTACCATATTTCTTTGCGTTTTCATTGAAAAAGCTTGAAGTATGATCGAGAAAGCATTATTACTTGTTGTCGAATCTTGAAAGGACAATTAAATGGTAGTGGAGGATGCTCCTTGGTGACTGTTGGGGTTTCACGGGCGGAGGTGGTGGCTTAAAATCAAAGATTAATGCTTGCTCACTTGTAGGTGGAGAAATAGGTTTACCTTAATCTTCATCAATTAACTCCACTCTATAGCAACAATTTGTAGAGCTAGGATGTTTATTTGTATTGAAAATATTAAACTCAACTACATCTTCTTCAACTTTAAAAGTTATCTTGTCTTCCCTCACATCAATGATTGTGTTTGCAATAGCCAAGAATGGTCGTCCCAAAATTAAAAGAATTTTCAGATCCCCTTCCATTTCAAGCACAATGAAGTCCACCGGAATGTAGAGATACTCAACTTTAATCAATACATCATAAATAATCCCAACAAGGTACCTAATTGTTCTATCTGTAATTGTAAAGAAACTATGGTAAGTTATATCTCGTTAAGTTCAAGTTTTTCAACAATTGGCGAAGGCATGATTGAAACTCCTGCACCCAAATCACATAAAGCTTTAATAAATTTAAATCGACCAATAGTATAAGGAATAGAAAAAGTCCTTGGATCCTTAAGTTTTGGTGAAAGCTTGTTTTGAATTATTACGTTACACTCCTCAATAAGTGCCATTGCTTCAAAATCTTCCAACTACGATTATAATTATTGAAATTTGGGTTATTCTACTGTTTATTAAGTTCTCCATAAATTGGACTGATTCAGAATTGTATGAACATTGATCATTTGAATGGCCATCTCCACACATCTCACAAACTACAAATAAATTTTGAACTACATGAATTCCCAATGTGTCAAACTTCTTGGACAATGTAGCCACTTGCTTAGCTACTTAAGCAGTGAAGGTGCCAAGTGCATCAATTTCATAAACTCCAACAGCTTTTCTGGACCAAACCTTTCTGAAGGCTACTGATAATTATTTGAGGCCATCTCTTTCAAAAAATTATAACCATTTACAACATTCTTACTCATTAATGCCCCACTAGCAGCAATATCAATTGTGATTTTTATTGACCCAACCAGGCCATTGTAGAAAGTCTGAACTTGCAACCAATCAAGAATCCCATGATGTGGATATCTTCTCAGTAGTTTTTTAAGTTTTTCCAAGCTTCATATAAGGACTCACCATCAAATTGTGTGAATGAGGTGATATCGTTCTTCATTTTTGCAATATTGGCAGGTGAAAAAAATTTTACTAGAAACTTTTATGCAAAGTCTTCCCATGTAGTGATAGACCCATTGGGTAGTGAATTAAGCTAGCTCTTTTATTTTTCCTTTAGAGAAAAGGGAACAATCTCAATTTAATACCATCATCAGTTACTCCGTTGTATTTAAAGGTATAGCAAATCTCCAAAAAATTTACCAAATGAAAATTTACTAAACTAGACTGAAGACTAACTCATTTAAATGTAAGTTGATTTAATTTCAAAATTGTTTGCATTGATGGAAGGTCTCCTAATGTTTTGATGTAAGCCTTGCAAAAGAGGAATGGCATAATCCTGCAATGCTCTATTTGCTTCGAGAACCAAATTAATGGCATCATTGCTATTGTTTTTGTTATCCTCAGCCATTGTTTGATTTAAAGCTGTAACTTGCAAATTCTCCCTTCGATCTCTTCTGAAAGTTCTTTCTATCTCAGGATAAAAAAGAACAAGATTCAAGTTATTTTTTCTTTACATACAATGACCAAATATATCTATAAGCAAACAAAATCTAATATTAAAACAAGAAAAGTAAATTTTGAAGTAAGACTAAATTACTTGATATTAGTATTAGTATAAGTATAAATTCTAGAAACAATTCATCAGCAACGATGCTAAAAAGTTGTTAGTTAAATTTTTATTACGTAAGTATACGTATCGAATAGATAGTATATAAGTAAGCAAAGTATCGATCCTATAGAGAATTGATCTAAAATTTTATTAAGTTCTAAAATTATAACAATTTAATCTTATCTAAATAATCAAATTCAAATAACTAAACTAATTAACTAATACTAATTAACAAAAATTTAAACTAAAAAGAAAAATCGAAGTAATAATAACTTGGATAATATCAAATCAAACAAGTCTAGGATTTTAATATCCCTCACACTTCATCTAAATCTTACTTCTCTTCTTTAACTTATTTCAATAGGTTGAATTGTTAACCTAGAGTCCTAAATTTTTATAAAAGTCTCCCGACTTATTTTTATAAAAATATCTATTTTAACCAAAACATTATATCCCTATTTGAATTAAAATTAAAACAAATGCTCTAATCTGGCTGCATATGACCTATAAATATATCCCTATCTTATACGCAAATCAATAATATGATTATATGTTATCTCAATTTTAGTCTACACTAAACTCCTTTTTCGAAGTTTGTTTAGGTTCCTAAATTAATTTAATTGATGGTCAAGCAATTAAAAGCATTAAGAACAAATTAAAATAAATAATTCAAATCCCATTGAAGATAAATAAGAAAGAAATTAAAAATTTAGATTACATGTGAGTTTAATTACAATCTTAGAAAAAGAGAATTAGCTACTCATGATTGTGAAGATAAATAATATTAAAATAATTTTAGCCATTGAGAGTAACAAGAAAAATAAAAGCCAAGGAAGAAAACAAAACAAATATTTGCCACCTTGCTCTCAAAGTTTCAACCTCAACTTCTAGCTCTTTGAATCTCCAAAGTTATCTACCATAATATTCTTAAAAATATCCTATTTATACTAATAAACTTAACCTATAGTTCACTAAGTTAACCTATGATTTAATATGGGTTAAAAGTGTAATGAGAGGCTCAAAAAATCAATTGTTAGTCTTTAAAAATTTTCATTCCCAATATTATACATCTAGCCATTTTTCAATGTGATTTTCTCTATCTTCAAAGTAGAACTGGATAAAATAATTCATGAAAGTTGTAGCTTTGTCTCTTATCTTTCCAATAGTCCAAGAATATCATCATTTGGAGTTCTGTAGCATGAGTTATGGACGAAACATTGAAGTATATGCAAACAAACTTTTAAGTCTTTTAACATCTTAGTTTTCAAAATTAAGCCAAATTTCTTTAACTCATACAAAAAATATAAAAATGATTAAATAACAATTAAATTAAAAAATAACATAAAAATACTTATAAAAATAACTAAAATAAATAAATTATAATTAAAAATTAAAAACTTAACTAATATTTAATAATAAAATTAAACTAAAATAATTTTATAAAATAGATTTATTATAAAGCTACATGAGAGGGGGCAGGCAAGGCTTATATGCTTGCAGGGTTTCTGTCCCTTGTTTGGACACACAAGAATTTTTAGTGGCTCAAACTTGTGGTTTGTCCTCTTTCAGCGAGGACAAATGCATGAAGAACAAAGAGTTAGGTGTGAAAGCTTATGTGGTCCTTCTCCCAGTAATTTCCATAATGAGTTTAACCAATGTCTTGGCCCCTCTCATGTATGTTTGCTCATTCTTTCATTGCTTATGTTGTATGCCAAGGAAGTACATATGCAAAAACCCACTTCCTTTTGTTTTGCCTTCGTAATCTTTTCAAATAATTCGTTGGTGTATACCACTCTATATAGAATTCGAATCCTTTTCTTTAAATTAAAAAAAAAAGAACCATTTTTGTTTTTTCTTCTTATATTCGCATCTTATTTGATGTGATAATACTGCAATCAGGATTGCATGAGCAAAGACTAACAAGGCAACATTAATTCTTCTTTAATCATTGAGCAGCTTTTTGAGCTTTTCAATTGCTTTTTCATGCAGCTCTATGGGCGCATGCCAAGACATAGTGGCATGGCATGCGTAACAATCAAGTGGGGCACAGGAGATGTTTGTGGTTTTGTGAAATGAAAGCCACGGTCGTCGGTCGATATTTTTTTCTTCAACTTTTGTGTTGTTTGACACAACAAAAACAGTTGCCGTGGAAAAGGCCTTCGGCTTTGGAGTGCCTGAAGGAGTTTGGACACCACACGATCCAAAGATGGTTCATTTGTAAGACGGTTCTTGACGTTTGCCTCTTTTCGTGGACTCTATTTAATTTCCCCATGGAAATAGAGACAAATTATACTGCTTGCTACATTACTAATTAAGCCCCCTATAAATGGAGGAAAAGAAAATAAGAAAAAAAAGGTCCAGTTTTTTTTTTTTTGTCTCTCACTTTTTGCTTTTTTGGATTTTAATAAAAATCACCAAATTAAGTTTTTAAAGAAGGATTTATTCGTATCAAATCTATTTGTTGAATATCCTGCAAACCCCATGTCACACGGCACAACCAGACAATTAAAAAAAAATTGGAAAAGGAAACATGGACAATAATTGAAAAGGAATTTTGTGATTAGAGTGTGAGATTCATTATTGTGGCCTAAACTTGTTGGGTAAATGTTGGAGTGATTAGTTGGTTTGGAAATGACAGTAGAGCCCTGGAGGGCCTTGGCTTTTTTCCAACACTACGCTTGGGCTAGCTCATAATTATCGGCTACCATCATCGTCACTTAAAGTACGGTAGTCGTCATCATCATCACATTGATTTCTAGATGTTCATATTCGTCAGAATTTAATCGAGCTTGTTGAGCTGGGAAAAAGCCAAAATACTAGTCCTATATGTTCCTCGCAGAATAGTCTTGCGGTTTAACGCGAAGCCGTGTTTCAAGTGACCAACAACACAATCACGAAACAACTTCAATCATCAGGACATTAAATTGATTTTGACTGGTTTTCATGCTGGAAATTTCGCAGCCGTGACGGAGAGCCCAGGGGGGAAAATCCAGAAGATACAGTTCAATTTTCAAAGATAACGTGTCCCTAGTTGTTTTTCCCATCAGCGTAACTTCGTGAATATCTTTCGGCAGTGGTAAGGGCATGTTGTGTCGAACACAAACAGAAACCAACGGACGACAAATTCCCAAAGCATAAGCGGAGTTGTGTGAAAATTAATGTTTCCTGAACAAGATGATTCCCTTTGGCATTGGTAGACAGGAAATGATGTACGTTCGGAACTGTGGGCGGACCTGAAAGATATGCATGGGAAGGGAGCATGTCAAGGTGACTGGATTTCCATATGGGACCAACATCACTTGAAAGGGGAACTTATTTTTAGTCAAGACGATGGCGCCAAATGTCAAGACATCAACCTTAGCGGGAATTTTGAATGTCGTTCCTCTTCCAATTCTCTCCCCTCCCTTGAAAACGACCCCACAAATCCAATGCAATAAACGGCCACACTCTCGCCACGCTCCGCCGCTAACTTTATGCCACGTGTAATTCAGTTGAGCGAAGCTGACTGGTCACTCCTCTGACAATTTTGTCAGGGGTCAGGATATGTGCCACGCGCTCTTATTGGTTGGCGTGGATAAGGAGACAAAGCTGTCACATGTGTCTTTTTTTTATTGGTCTCTTTCTCTTCAACGTCATTAATACTCCAAATTTCCTAATACTAATGACTATAAAATGTTAACTTTTCTTAATAAAAATAATGATACGTGCCTAACCACCTTTTCTCTTTAATTTATGTCACGTGTAGAGCACGATTGGCTCGTGATGGCTCACGAGCCAGCTTCCAAGTACCATATTAAAGAAAAATCTTCTACTATACTATTTTTATTTATTTTTATATATAAAAATAAAAAGAACAAAAAGGTTTTTTTCTTTTTTAATGCTGTTTCATCATTCATGAAAGGTTTGTCCCATAGCGAGTGACTTGCCTCCCTGACTTAACTTCAATAATAGGGATAAGATGAATTTTGAATACAGATTTTAGATTGATGTTCTTATGTTATTTCATGAATTAACGATTCAAATAGTTTACAAACAAAAGCCATAACTAAGATTTGGTCTTTCAACAACAAGCACATTAATTAATTCAAATCTGTTAGGCAGTTCATTTAATTTGATATTGAAGAAACGTGTGAATCATTTTTATTGCAATAAAAGAATCGTGTATAGTTTATTGTGCATACCTCATTAAATTTCCAACAACATAGCACAATGTATAAAAAAAATGTTAATTCGATATATAAAAAAAAAGAGTAAAATAAATAAAATTGAAGTGGTGGGGTGAAATAGAATAGAAAAGAATGGTTCGAGTTTGTTTTAAACTAGAAACCAATTAATTAAAGATTGGAAAACGAACTGTCCAAATTGGATCGCAACCATATGATTGCTGGGGTGTGGTCCTAGGGTAGCGTCCTATGCTCCTAGCAATTTCAACAGGCAATATCTGATTCATAATCGAGGATCGGCGTGATGGGCTATGAAGATTTCCAAAGGCAGGGACCACATTGGTTGTGGGGCCCCCAAAACATGTTAAAAGGAAAATAAAAAGGGATTATGATAACCACGGCGGGCGGCACGCTGTGTAGGACAGGAATACCAGTAAAACAACAACCAACAACTTGAATTGCATTTAACAGCACTCCTTGTCACTTTCTTAGGTCCCTTCATTAACGAGGCCGCACCCACACCACCTCGCATTTTCCATTTTTTTTTTACTTTTTCAAATTCTTATTACCCTCCATTAAATACAACAAATAGAATTAATTTTTAGGAGAAAAAATAAAAATTCATTATTATTTTTTTCTAGGGAGAGATCATGTATTAATAATAAACTAAATGTTCAGATATATATTTTAATTTTGATTTATTATTTTATTTCAAATGTAACACAAGATATTTAAATTACTACATGTCATAATTATGAAAATGAGATTAAATAATAGCTCGTTCAAGAGTTTAGGCTTTCGAGTAAATGATTTAATAGTTAGATTATTTAATAAAAATATTTTAAAATGTCATAATAAAATAAAAAAAATTAAATATTTTAAGTGATTATATAAATAATATATTATGATAGTATAAAAATTAAAAATATTCATTATCATTGAAAAAAATTAAGTTCGTAGTTATTGTTTTTGCATTTAGTCTTCTATAACGTACTTTACTATTTTTTTTATTTTTAAAATTAATTTGTAGTAAAAATAACAATATAATAATAATTAACATGCAAAAGTGAATTTAGATAATAATTTTACAATTACTTTAAAAAATCATATTTAATATAATCTGGATCATATTTAGCAACTTGAGTTTAAGCTTTTGAGGATCACGTGGTTTAGGTACAAAAACCTGTTAGACTAGTGGTTGGACTTGAGTCGTTACAAATAATAGTTTTAGAGTCAGGTTCAGTCCGATGTGAACTTTCACATTGCTCTGGTGAGATATTGGTCATATGGATGTGATAAGTCTGATGTGAGTTTTTACATTGCTCTGTGGATGTGATGTCAAGGATTTAAATAGATGGGATTGTGATACCCAACATCCCACATCTGATATGAATGTGATTATTAAGACCTATATAACAATCTAAGTTTACTACTAGTAGTAACTTAAGCTTAATTTTTTGAGGGTCACGTGGCTTGGGTCCAAAAAGCTGTCGGGCTAATGGTTGAATTTGAATTGTTACACTATAAATAAAAGTTGAAGGACTTATTTTGCTGCTGGGCTAGTGGTTGGACTTGAGTCGTTACACTATAAATAAAAGTTTAAGGACTTATTTGGCTCAAAATAAAACTCTAAGAGCTTAATTGAATATAATAAAACTATGACAAATGACACTTTAACTAGGTTAATTATTAGTTATAAGAGTTTATTTGATTCAAAATAAAAATATAAAAAATGTATTTGGCTCAAAATAAAAATATAAAAACTTAATTTAAAGCAATAAAAGTGTAAAGACTTATTTAATTTTTTTA